TATTATCCCAAAGGGAATGTGAGGGACTGTGCAGGTTGCATACAATCTGAAATATCTCGAAAACTAGCCAAGATAGACAAAAATAGAAATCATATTCGTGTTGAGCACATCGAGAATACCCTGTATACAAGGTTACAGCTCATTCTATCTTTTATTAAAAATCGAAAAAAGCAAAGGGGTTAACCTTCTTTCGTTTATGTTCAAAATTATCAAAATCATCGTAGAGCCTTCTAATTTGGCATGAAGGACTCTAATGCAATTGCCAATATCCCACTAAAACCATTCTTCTTTCGTCGCAGTAGAAAAATATTTATGAATATTATCCCAAAGGGAATGTGAGGGACTGTGCAGGTTGCATACAATCTGAAATATCTCGAAAACTAGCCAAGATAGACAAAAATAGAAATCATATTCGTGTTGAGCACATCGAGCATACCCTGTATACAAGGTTACAGCTCATTCTATCTTTTATTAAAAATCGAAAAAAGCAAAGGGGTTAACCTTCTTTCGTTTATGTTCAAAATTATCAAAATCATCGTAGAGCCTTCTAATTTGGCATGAAGGACTCTAATGCAATTGCCAATATCCCACTAAAACCATTCTTCTTTCGTCGCAGTAGAAAAATATTTATGAATATTATCCCAAAGGGAATGTGAGGGACTGTGCAGGTTGCATACAATCTGAAATATCTCGAAAACTAGCCAAGATAGACAAAAATAGAAATCATATTCGTGTTGAGCACATCGAGAATACCCTGTATACAAGGTTACAGCTCATTCAAATTTTTTTAAAAATCGAAAAAAGCAAAGGGGTTAACCTTCTTTCGTTTATGTTCAAAATTATCAAAATCATCGTAGAGCCTTCTAATTTGGCATGAAGGACTCTAATGCAATGGCCAATATCCCACTAAAACCATTCTTCTTTCGTCGCAGTAGAAAAATATTTATGAATATTATCCCAAAGGGAATGTGAGGGACTGTGCAGGTTGCATACAATCTGAAATATCTCGAAAACTAGCCAAGATAGACAAAAATTGAAATCATATTCGTGTTGAGCACATCGAGAATACCCTGTATACAAGGTTACAGCTCATTCTGATTTTTATTAAAAATCGAAAAAAGCAAAGGGGTTAACCTTCTTTCGTTTATGTTCAAAATTATCAAAATCATCGTAGAGCCTTCTAATTTGGCATGAAGGACTCTAATGCAATTGCCAATATCCCACTAAAACCATTCTTCTTTCGTCGCAGTAGAAAAATATTTATGAATATTATCCCAAAGGGAATGTGAGGGACTGTGCAGGTTGCATACAATCTGAAATATCTCGAAAACTAGCCAAGATAGACAAAAATAGAAATCATATTCGTGTTGAGCACATCGAGAATACCCTGTATACAAGGTTACAGCTCATTCTATCTTTTATTAAAAATCGAAAAAAGCAAAGGGGTTAACCTTCTTTCGTTTATGTTCAAAATTATCAAAATCATCGTAGAGCCTTCTAATTTGGCATGAAGGACTCTAATGCAATTGCCAATATCCCACTAAAACCATTCTTCTTTCGTCGCAGTAGAAAAATATTTATGAATATTATCCCAAAGGGAATGTGAGGGACTGTGCAGGTTGCATACAATCTGAAATATCTCGAAAACTAGCCAAGATAGACAAAAATAGAAATCATATTCGTGTTGAGCACATCGAGAATACCCTGTATACAAGGTTACAGCTCATTCAAATTTTTTTAAAAATCGAAAAAAGCAAAGGGGTTAACCTTCTTTCGTTTATGTTCAAAATTATCAAAATCATCGTAGAGCCTTCTAATTTGGCATGAAGGACTCTAATGCAATGGCCAATATCCCACTAAAACCATTCTTCTTTCGTCGCAGTAGAAAAATATTTATGAATATTATCCCAAAGGGAATGTGAGGGACTGTGCAGGTTGCATACAATCTGAAATATCTCGAAAACTAGCCAAGATAGACAAAAATAGAAATCATATTCGTGTTGAGCACATCGAGAATACCCTGTATACAAGGTTACAGCTCATTCTATCTTTTATTAAAAATCGAAAAAAGCAAAGGGGTTAACCTTCTTTCGTTTATGTTCAAAATTATCAAAATCATCGTAGAGCCTTCTAATTTGGCATGAAGGACTCTAATGCAATTGCCAATATCCCACTAAAACCATTCTTCTTTCGTCGCAGTAGAAAAATATTTATGAATATTATCCCAAAGGGAATGTGAGGGACTGTGCAGGTTGCATACAATCTGAAATATCTCGAAAACTAGCCAAGATAGACAAAAATTGAAATCATATTCGTGTTGAGCACATCGAGAATACCCTGTATACAAGGTTACAGCTCATTCTGATTTTTATTAAAAATCGAAAAAAGCAAAGGGGTTAACCTTCTTTCGTTTATGTTCAAAATTATCAAAATCATCGTAGAGCCTTCTAATTTGGCATGAAGGACTCTAATGCAATTGCCAATATCCCACTAAAACCATTCTTCTTTCGTCGCAGTAGAAAAATATTTATGAATATTATCCCAAAGGGAATGTGAGGGACTGTGCAGGTTGCATACAATCTGAAATATCTCGAAAACTAGCCAAGATAGACAAAAATAGAAATCATATTCGTGTTGAGCACATCGAGAATACCCTGTATACAAGGTTACAGCTCATTCTATCTTTTATTAAAAATCGAAAAAAGCAAAGGGGTTAACCTTCTTTCGTTTATGTTCAAAATTATCAAAATCATCGTAGAGCCTTCTAATTTGGCATGAAGGACTCTAATGCAATTGCCAATATCCCACTAAAACCATTCTTCTTTCGTCGCAGTAGAAGAATATTCATGAATTTTATCCCAAAGGGAATGTGAGTGACTGTGCAGGTTGCATACAATCTGAAATATCTCGAAAACTAGCCAAGATAGACAAAAATAGAAATCATATTCGTGTTGAGCACATCGAGAATACCCTGTATACAAGGTTACAGCTCATTCTATCTTTTATTAAAAATCGAAAAAAGCAAAGGGGTTAACCTTCTTTCGTTTATGTTCAAAATTATCAAAATCATCGTAGAGCCTTCTAATTTGGCATGAAGGACTCTAATGCAATTGCCAATATCCCACTAAAACCATTCTTCTTTCGTCGCAGTAGAAAAATATTTATGAATATTATCCCAAAGGGAATGTGAGGGACTGTGCAGGTTGCAGACAATCTGAAATATCTCGAAAACTAGCCAAGATAGACAAAAATAGAAATCATATTCGTGTTGAGCACATCGAGAATACCCTGTATACAAGGTTACAGCTCATTCTATCTTTTATTAAAAATCGAAAAAAGCAAAGGGGTTAACCTTCTTTCGTTTATGTTCAAAATTATCAAAATCATCGTAGAGCCTTCTAATTTGGCATGAAGGACTCTAATGCAATTGCCAATATCCCACTAAAACCATTCTTCTTTCGTCGCAGTAGAAAAATATTTATGAATATTATCCCAAAGGGAATGTGAGGGACTGTGCAGGTTGCATACAATCTGAAATATCTCGAAAACTAGCCAAGATAGACAAAAATTGAAATCATATTCGTGTTGAGCACATCGAGAATACCCTGTATACAAGGTTACAGCTCATTCTGATTTTTATTAAAAATCGAAAAAAGCAAAGGGGTTAACCTTCTTTCGTTTATGTTCAAAATTATCAAAATCATCGTAGAGCCTTCTAATTTGGCATGAAGGACTCTAATGCAATTGCCAATATCCCACTAAAACCATTCTTCTTTCGTCGCAGTAGAAAAATATTTATGAATATTATCCCAAAGGGAATGTGAGGGACTGTGCAGGTTGCAGACAATCTGAAATATCTCGAAAACTAGCCAAGATAGACAAAAATAGAAATCATATTCGTGTTGAGCACATCGAGAATACCCTGTATACAAGGTTACAGCTCATTCTATCTTTTATTAAAAATCGAAAAAAGCAAAGGGGTTAACCTTCTTTCGTTTATGTTCAAAATTATCAAAATCATCGTAGAGCCTTCTAATTTGGCATGAAGGACTCTAATGCAATTGCCAATATCCCACTAAAACCATTCTTCTTTCGTCGCAGTAGAAGAATATTCATGAATTTTATCCCAAAGGGAATGTGAGTGACTGTGCAGGTTGCATACAATCTGAAATATCTCGAAAACTAGCCAAGATAGACAAAAATAGAAATCATATTCGTGTTGAGCACATCGAGAATACCCTGTATACAAGGTTACAGCTCATTCTATCTTTTATTAAAAATCGAAAAAAGCAAAGGGGTTAACCTTCTTTCGTTTATGTTCAAAATTATCAAAATCATCGTAGAGCCTTCTAATTTGGCATGAAGGACTCTAATGCAATTGCCAATATCCCACTAAAACCATTCTTCTTTCGTCGCAGTAGAAAAATATTTATGAATATTATCCCAAAGGGAATGTGAGGGACTGTGCAGGTTGCAGACAATCTGAAATATCTCGAAAACTAGCCAAGATAGACAAAAATAGAAATCATATTCGTGTTGAGCACATCGAGAATACCCTGTATACAAGGTTACAGCTCATTCTATCTTTTATTAAAAATCGAAAAAAGCAAGGGGTTAACCTTCTTTCGTTTATGTTCAAAATTATCAAAATCATCGTAGAGCCTTCTAATTTGGCATGAAGAAGTGTGATGCAATTGCCAATATCCCACTAAAACCATTCTTCTTTCGTCGCAGTAGGAAAAAAGTTATGGATTTTTTTCCAAATGGGAATCCGAGTGACTGTGCCAAAAAGCCATCAACAGTGTACTCACTTTTTTTCGTGAAAAAAAAAAGTAAAAAAGTAATTTTCAAAAAGTGACATTCTATATAACCTGTCAACAGAGATGAAATGTCAAACATGTTTTCCCGTCCCAGACAAAACAAAACATCCGAAGGGCACAAACAAAAAAATCCAGTAAAAATTTCATCAATTTATTTAAAACTCCATCATCGCATCTACATCAACATAATAAATTAATATTGCCCGTGTCCGCCCCTAGCAAGAGCAATCTATTGAGCGGCAAATAATCCATGGAGGTGAGCAACCCCCTGAAAGTGTCCGTTCTGAGTTTGTTGTTCGAGAAAGCCGCATCCGGGGCGATCGAAGAATGAACCCCAATCCTATTGGCCGTTGTACCGGATATCAACTCGTTGTTGTTCACGTTCAAACAGTGAACCGGTTCGGTGGTTCCCCTGTAAGAATAATTAATAATTTTTCAAATTAGGTATTCCCAATATTAGACAGATAAAACATAAATAAATGCAAAAAGCTCAAAGTCATATCCACACAATGTTCATAAAATAAACAACAATGGTAGATTTCGGGAGAAAAACAACTACTTTCCTGGCTAATGACACGCAGAATATTGAATTACATCCTTCCAAAATCTATGCATCGACTAGTATAAACGAATACAGTGATTCTTTCCTGAATGCCTATTGATTTCGATTTAGCCAGGCCACGCTAGACACCTACAGACCGGTTTCGACCTCTTTGGCGCTCATCAGTGCAGGGCAGTCCTAAGACCGCCTTCTAAGCGTAGCCTAGCCAAACAAAACTCAAGTAGGCATTACAGTGTGTCCCACTTACCATGCTCCATGGGTATCTTTTTAACGGTGAGAGATACGAGGTCAGTTAAATAACACCAAATGTGGAGTTTGTCAAGGTCAACTATAATGTGAAAAAATATTAAGATAACATCTATTCGTTTTTGTTTTATACGCAAAAAACAGATTCTGATCATTTTCATGTCTCCTCCGTAACTTCTTTATTTATGAAAATATTCAAATAGGAATTTCACATTCTCATGGCAGTTTTTCAAAGTGATTTCGAAAAAAATATGAAATTTGTACCAACTCTTCTAGAATTCAAGATATCAGCACCAACTTTAGTTTTTCAAATGTTGGTCATAGCTCACTATCACTTAGTTACAAATAACTTTTTTTTCTCTTACAGATGATATGTCGCAGTAATAGTTTTGTGTTGATAAAGACGGAGTTATCGTCATTTATACAAAAACAAAAAATTATTTGGAAGCCGCCATCTTGAATTTATAAATTTTAACAAAAAAATCATGATCTCCGACCTCAAAAACCCCCACTTACCAATTTTGAATGACAATACATTATGGATTTTTTGTTGAAATTAATAAAAATGGCTGCTCCAAGATGGCGGACAAGATTTGGTCCGATTCCATTCAAAATTGGTAAGTGGGGGTTTTTGAGGTCGAAGATCATGATTTTTTGTTAAAATTCATGAATTCAAGATGGCGGCTTCCAAATAATTTTTTATTTTTGTATAAATGACGATAACTCCGTTGTTATCAACACAAAACTATTACTGCGACATATCATCTGAGAGGGAAAAAAACGTTATTTGTAACTAAGTCATAGTGAGCTATGACCTACATTTGAAAAACTAAAGTTGGTGCTGATATCTCAAATTCTAGAAAAGTTGGTATAAATTTCATATCTTATTCGAAATCACTATAAAAAACTGCCATGAGAATGTGAAATTCCTATTTGAATATTTCCATAAATAAAGAAGTTATGGAGGAGACATGAAAATGATCAAAATCTGTTTTTTGCGTATAAAACAAAAACGAATAGATTTTATCAAAATATTTTTTCACATTATAGTTGGCCCTGACAAACTCCACATTTGGTGTCATTTAACCGACCTCGTATCTCTCATCGTTAAAAAGATACCCATGGTGAGCATGGTAAGTGGGACACACTGTATATTCTCCCAGAGGCGTCTTTCATAGACAATATGAAAGCAACGCCATCTGAGGATGTAATTCAATGTTATGCGTGGCATTAGCCAGGAAAGTAGTTGTTTTTCTCCCGAAATCTACCATGTTGTTAATTCTATGATTTTTTTAAATCTAAATTGTTCATCAAATAAAGGTAAGTGAATCCATAATAACCTTATACAGGAAAGGTTCATTTTCGCAGAAAAATCTTTGAGGAATGAATTTCAATGATCGCTCAATAATTTGTTAAGCTGGAGTATATGCCTAACATATTCCTTGGATATAATAGGGATTCCCTTGTGTGCGTTCCGAAATTTTTGCACAGCATCAGCATTGATATTTTACGGTGATCATGACATTCTTTATTGAAAATGTTGGTAACGTATTTTTCCATTTTGACCTACAATGATAGAGGATTAGAAAATGCAATAATACAGGGTTATTCACGTTACACAACATGAAGCATTGTGGCTAAACTACTGATTTTTTTAAGTTTTTTTCTTGGATGAGTATAGGGACCTATCAGCGCTACATTTTGAAAATATTGTCATGTTGTACAGGGTGTGCCAAAAACACAAAAGTATCAAAGTTGCTCTTTTTTGAATGGCATACCCTGTATATTATTGCATCTAAGATTCCTCCTGAAGAGCTGAATTCATCGATGTGAGTGAATAAAAAAATGAATATATTATCTTTGTTCCTGTCGTTTTACTTTAACGAAATTTGATTCGGTTCTCCAAAAAAAAAATGGGAAAGTCATGAAAAAACAAGTTATTTTGCGATTTTTTTTTAGAAAACACTGAATCAAATTCAGAAGAAGTGGGACGACAGGAACATACATTAGATCTTCACAAATATGTAATAATTTTTTCATTCATCCGGTTTCGAGCTCTTTGGCGCTCATCAGTGCAGGGCAGTCTCCAGCCAGCAGTCCTAAGACCGTCGACTAAGCATATACTTTCGAACGCGTCGTTTTCGAGATATAGAGTCTTGAAAATACGAGTCTGAATATTGTTTTTTGGTGAAAAGTTCGAAACGGTTTGAGATGAATCAACAAAATTCGTCACAGATACTAAACTTTTCACGCTCATCAAGATGAAATGAAAATTATTTCGCATAGTTATTCAGTGGCAGGTAAATCTGAGGGTGGTGAAGGTAAATTAAAATGTTATTGTGTTTGTCCAGTTATTATTTTTTATTATCTAAGATTTCTCATATTGTTAATCCGGTTCAATTCGAAATCGTTGTAACGCATTGAAAAAATACAAGAGAACTGTTGTACGCAGAAATCTATGTGTTCACATTTTGTACTCGAAAATTAAAAATTTAATGCACATATAAAATAAGGGTGTATTTTCCCTCCACTACCCCCAGATTCAGCCGCCACTGATTCACTTTATGAATTAATTGTTATTTCATCTTATGGAGCGTAAAAAGTTTAGTATCTGTGAGTTGTTGATTCATCTCAAACCGTTTCGAACTTTTCATCAAAAAACAATATTCAGACTCGTATTTTCAACACTCTATATCTCGAAAACGACGCGATCAAAAGTATATCTTCAGTTGAACTTTTTTCATTATTTCAACGAGTATCACACACTGTGGAATTTTTTGTATTTCAAACCAGACCACCCCGTATATCGATAAATATCCATACCAAATCATACACCGATACCGATAATCTCAGTTGGTAATTGAGTTAATCTTTGGTAGGTTTCTTGTTCATGTGAAATTCAGAATAAAACCTCAATAAATAGGGAAGATACAGGGGTGCATTCATCAGAAATAAGATATATTATAGAAACTTTCGGGAGATTCGAGAATGTTCCAGAAGTTGATGAAATTCTATAATGAATATTTCACTACTTTTGAAGATGTAATAGAATAATATTAGTAAATATCCCAGAACGCACTCAAATGTTCTAGAATGTTCCATAATGTTGAAATATTCCAGAATGTTCTAAAATGTCCTATGTTGTTCCAAAAAAGTTCCAGAATGTTATAATATATTCCAGACTGATTCAAAATGGTCCCGAATGTTGAAAAATGTTCCAGAAGGTTCTACATTGTTTCAGAATGTTCCAAAATGTTACAGAATATTCTAAAATGTTCAATAATGTTCCGAAAATGTTCCAGAATGTTATGATATGTTCTAGATGGATTTAAAATGGTCCCGAATATTCAAAAATGTTCCTGAAGGTTCTAAATTGTTTAAGAATGTTCCAAAATGTTACAGAATATTTTAAAATGTCCTATGATGTTCCAAAAATGGTCCAGAATGTTATAATATGTTCCAGACTGACTTAATATGGTCCCAAATGTTCCAGAAGGTTCTAAATTGTTTCAGGATGTTCCAAAATTTTACAGAATATTCTAAAAAGTCCAATAATGTTCCAAAAATGTTCCAGAATGTTATAATATGTTCCAGACTAATTTAAAATGGCCCTCAATGTTCAAAAATATTCCAGAAGGTTCTAAATTGTTTCAGAATGTTCCAGAATGTTCTAAAATGTCCCAGAACATTCTAGAATAGTTCAGATTGTTCTCAAATGTTTCCAGAAGATTGTCCTCAAATGTTTCCAGAATGTTTTAAAATGGTCAGGAATATTCAAGAATATTCCAGAATGTTTTTAAATGGTCCAGAATATTCCATAATGTTCTGAAATGTCCCATAATTTGATAAAATGTTTCAGTAAGTTATAATATGTTCCAGACTGATTTAAAATGGTCCCAAATATTCTAAAATATTCCAGAAGGTTCTAAATCATTTCAGAATATTTTAAAATGTTCCAGAATGTTCTAAAATATCCCAGAACATTCTAGAATAATTCAGATTGTTCTAAAATGTTCCAGAATGTTTCAAAATGGTCCAGAAAATTCCAGAATGTTCTAAAACGGTCCATAATATTCCATAATATTCCGAAATGTCCCAAAATCGCCATGAACCAACCTCATTTGAAATTTGAACTTCCCGTCCGCCACACTCCACACGCACACGTTCTGATCCAGGCTGGTCGAGATCAGCAAGTCCTCGTCGCCGACGGCCAATTGCAGCACCTCGCTCTCGTGCGCCCGCCAATTGGAGACGACGAGGCCGGTCCTGGTGTCGAGCACGGTGACCGCGCCAGACGATTGGCCGGCAGCCACCCACGTGCCGCAAGGGGCTACGGCTAGACAGCGGATGAGGCCGGAGGGATTGAGACTGATCTAAAAAGAAAAATAGAAAAAAATCTAATGAATCATAATAATAGTTATTTTCCGTCGACGTCGTATTAACGAGTAAGTTTAATGTTTATGAAATCGTTCATTAATGACCCCTATTATTTATTTATTTATTTATTTATTGAACAAATAACTTCCAGACAGAATAGGCTCTAGTATAAGGAAGTAAATAATTATATACCTATAGGTAAACATAGCATCATTCAAAATATATCAACAACTGTAAATTGGCAAACGAAGAATAATATTTGTAAATAAAAAAAAAAAAATGGCATGATTAATTTTATCCAGTCCGCTGAGAAATAATCAGTTTTTTTACTTCAATTTTGAATATACCTATATTTCTGCAATTTTTTATATTATCAGGTAGTTTATTGAATTCAGTTAAGGCTGAATGAGTGAATCTTTTTTGTCCGATTAGGGAGCTAGCGGCGTCAAGATGGAACAAGTTATATTGTCTAGTTTCATGATTATGAATTTCAGAATTCCGTATCAAAATAATATTAGACTTCAATTTTTTATTTATGATATTATATGATATTTTGAGAGTTTCAATTCTATATATTTCATCTAAAGAATACGTATTTGTTATTTTATACAATTGATTGGTTGGTGTATCAAATGGGAGACGATACAATACTTTTAACGATTTTCTATATAATGTTGATATTTTATTGAAATTATTTTTTGAACAAGATCCCCAAACATTTATTGAATAGTTGATACGACTCAGTATATGAGAGTAGAAAATCATGTTTGCAATTTTAATATCAAGTTTGGGACATCTTCTCAATGCACCAATTATTGGAGATATTTTTTTTGTCAGAACATCAATAGTTTGTCCCACTTCAACCTGTCATCAAACCAAATACCAAGATATTTTATCTGGTCAGTTTGTTTCAAGAGTTCATTTTTTATTTTAAGGTTGAGGTGAATTTTTTGTTTATTTTTTTGGTGAAAAATCATATATTCTGTTTTGTTAGTATTTATCGATGCACGATTATTTTACTGGCAACCAAACACACACCGCGTGCATTCATTGTTTATGCTATTGTCACAAATGCGGAGATCTTTAAAGCCAAATTCCAAAATTCTTATAAAATTATATCGGTTCGAAGTCATTGAACGGTCACGTCTGTGTTTATTATTTCCAAAATTATTAAACCACGAACTTTAGATTAGTAGTTGAACATAAACACAGGCATGGCATTGACTTCAACGAACCAGGAATATCCACCTGACTTCCTCACTGTCACGTTTCCAAAATATAGATTGAACATATAAAAGGCGCGAGGAAGCCAGCACAGGTATCATTTCGATCATTCGATCAGGTTCGATCATTCAATCATTCAAGCATTCAATCAGTTTCAATCATTTCCACTGTGCCCGAATCTTCGGAGTTCGGGCAGAAGAAGATGCCCTTCCTCAGGCTCCCAGAAATGCCATTTAATTTGTACATATAGGGTAAGTTAAGTTTTATTTATTGTTAATCATAATACAAAGAATAAATGTGTGTATATGTTTTGTTGAAAACCCTTTGGAGTATTCTTTATTATTATCACTTTCAAAGTTCATTCTCTAATAGATCTAGAACACAACTTAGGCAACCTCCGCCTACTTACGGAATCTGCATTCAACTCGAAAATAAGGATTTCATCGAAGATTTTCGGTAAACGGGTTCGCCTTTCCAAGTTTCTGACACGATTTCAATCCCTGTTTTCTAGCACAAGGAATTTATTTTCTATGTTGATCATTTCGACAAATGTCAAATGTCACTAATGTCAGTAACAAGGCTACTGGGTGATTCTTAGTAGTTTCCGGATGAATGATGAATTCGCAAATCAAGTTTTCTTCACTGCAGGAGAAATGAGAAATATAGTCGACGGAAACATTTTGTAACCAACTCGTATATCAAAAGGCGATTAATGATCTCGAACATTAACGCGCTCGCTTCGATCGCACGTTAAAATATCTCAATCATTAATCGCCCTCATTATTTGTTTATGGCTGGTTGTCATGCTTTCAAAAGTTCCGTTATTGTCGCTGAAAAAGTTAAAGCAAACTTTTTTCGCTGCCATAATGACAAAATCATGCGGCTTGTGGGATTTTTCATACATGATTTAAATTGTCAGCACAAAATGGCAAGTTTAAATTTTATAGTACAGTCGTATCATAGATCTAATTACACGTCGTATTCAATAAAAAAGCGTACAAGTATTAAAAAGAGAGGATTTCGGGATACTAGTTCTAGTTGTGTAAAACTTGTGTTTTTGAGAACCTATGACAACTTTACTGTCAACATTTGGTAAGCAATCATTCCCGATAGCCCGTTTTATGCTGAATAGGATGACTTTATTTTTCTCTATGTAATATACTTGTACGCTTTTTTTTGAATGCGACTGTACATATTAAGAAAGAAGTGTTGTTTATAAAGTGGCTGGCGTCAATGACTATGATATCTGTGACATATGCCAACGATAACCGTGATAACCCCCTCCCTAGGAGAGACGAACTGGCAGCACTGACGATAGTCAGTCGATGCCTAATGGCGACCATGACAAGTAGTCCTGTATAAATGTTAAATGTATTGTTCGTGCTATTTCAATGTAATGTTTTATATAAAGGGACACCAAAACGATTTCCAATAAAAGTATATTTCGACTAGGCTTGCATCTCTTTTCGCCTGGTTTTCCAAGATACTACAATATCAAAATAGTAGATAAATTAATACGTAGACATAAATTTGAGTTAACATTTCGACACATTTGGCTTTACCAACCTAGAACCTTGCTGAATGGATTTTTGAAAAACTGAGAGATTGAGCTACTATCGACTTATTTTTTATTATTTAATTCAACTTAAGTCGTTTAATTATATTTCATTTAACATAATTATATCACGTGAGCAAATTTCATTGATAATAATAATATATTTCTACCAACTTTAGTGAACTGAATTCGTGAAAAACTGAGAGATTGAGCTAGTATCGACTTATTTTTTATTATTTTGTGTAACTGAAGTAAGTTAATGGTGTTTTATTATTCAACTTTACAATATTATGAATGTTGATATACTACAAACTGCTTCGAGTTCTTTGTAACAAAATATGTTTCCACCCCAACTTAAGTAAAGAATAATAGTTTGGTAGTTCAAACTATTATTCTTTACTAAAGTCAAGAACTAAATGGGAAATTGAAATCAGTTATCACAAAAAATCGAATGAAAAAATGTTATCATTATGTTTTGATTGTTGAGCAATTTATTTGATTCTCTAATCTCCATATGCATGAAACAGAAGCACACGTGAATGACCCTGTATATAATGTTTCTGTACATATTGATTTTTTTTTCATTTCTCCCTATGTATCTGGAATGTCCTTAGTCATAGATGAATTACTTGTTCAGGTTATAATCGGCTAGGTAGGTGACGTAACTAATAATTAGTCATTAAGGTGATGAATCGAAAACCAGTCATCAGTCTTAGATTAAATTTCATCCAGTACGGTCGATTCAAGTGGTTAACAACGAAAATCAAGTGACAAAAAAGAGTTTCTCGTTCAGTTTAGTGATGATACTAGTACATTTGTGAGGGTGTGAATGTGTGTGTGTGGTGTGAAGTTTGAGCGTCTTGCTGTGGATTTTTTTTTAATATTGGAAAGTGAACTATTTTGTTGAAATCTGTTCTTTCTCAAGATGGTGAGTGTGTTTTTTCATTGTTTTATTATGCATATGGAGGTATTCATTACTTGATGGATAAAAGAATGAAATCATGGAAACACACATACAAAATTTGGAACATTATCTAGTTTCTACTCATCATAATTTTCCGTTTCTCACTTGACAAACGGTAAAACTGCATTTAGCATGCGATGGTTTTTTTTTTCGAAAATTTTTTTTTGGTACTTACGTATTTTTGTCTGAAAAACACGAATTTGATAATGAAAATGTGAACAAACCATTATTTATCAAGATATTTCACTATAAAGTTACAAATTTCACCATCTTTTCCGCCTGTCTTCTGGATTGAATTTAAAACAATTTACCCTTCTTTTTTCATCATTGGACAATTTATATATATCACAATGTAAGACACATTTTTTTCTATTATTGAGTCAACTAGAAATATGATTTTCTTGTGATTTATCCATATTTAGTGAAAAGAAGGAAGATTATCATTTGAAATAATGGCGTGTGTAATGTCATTTCAAAGCAATCTATTGACATTTGACATCTCGTATTTGGATTGCCTATGGATTAAATGGCCGTCATCTGGTATGCTTGCTCACTAAATAGGAAAAACTCACCATAAAAATCATATTTTCTGTTGAATTTTCTGTATAAAAATGTGTCATTGAAGTACATCATGAGTATATAAAGTGTCCAATGACAAAATAAGAAGAGCAACTACCTGTAAATGCATCCAACGCAAGGGGAAAAAAAGTCGAAATTTCGAACTTTTTCTTGAAATATCTCGATGAATAGTGGTTTGTTCACATTTTCATTATCAAATTCGTGTTTTTCAGACAAAAATACGTAGGTACCAAAACAAATTTTCTAAAAAAAAACCATCGCATGCTAAATGCAGTTTTACCTGACAAACTACCAATGTAGGTGTGATTCTTACACAGATGGCAAAATGATGAACAATATGAAGCTAAATAAGATATGTCTATTTTTCCGGCACCATTGATAGCCAGACATATTTTGGATCAGTGGCCGAATAATATATTATACCTCGCCTACTAGGTTTTCATTTAGGAGGACAACGGTCAGTGATACTCACTTTGATTTCCTGCACATAATCCAATAATCTGGTATCGATTATCTTGATGGTACCGTCGGTGGTCGCAGCGAATACCAATGTAGAGGGCGCTGGCATACTTCTCAATACGTTCACGGGTGCATATTTTGCCGACTCCAAACTACCTATAAACGAACACAGAGTGTCTCAAAAATACCTATGAACTAGAAAGGACAATGTTAGTTCTCAGTTTTAAACTAAATTAAATTCGCGCAAACCACGAAAACATCAAAACACTAACAAACATACAGGGTGATCCACGGTGGATGACCTATTAGAAGTATCTCGAGAACGGAAAGACAGAACATTCTGAAAATTGGGGTGCTTTGATAATTGAACATTCTCTATCCGTCTAGAATATTTTCATCGATACAGTGTTGCCACTTCTATCAGAAACCACTAGCAACTTCGTTATTTTAAATAGAGCATCCTGTATTAAATTGCATTTTTAGATTCTTCCTAAAGAGCTGATTTCATCAATGCATCACACTTGGGGTCTAGCAGGAATGTTTACAGAGATATAGGGTGTTCAAAATTGAGATTTTTCAATTTTAGGATTTTTTTGTGTCGAAACTATTCATTATCGATCGAAACGGCTTACATGTCCTTATCTCAACTTTTGATTCACTATCTACTGATATTTGATTGGACAAATACAAGGTGATCAGAATTCTGCAATATTTAATTTCTATTTGGGGGAGTACAAATATTTCACGTCTGAAACCACTAATGAAATTACAAAACAAATCAATTAAGTGCATTTTTCATCTACATTTTCTAGAACCAACGATAAATTTATACAAACCAAGACATTTTCTGAATCTGATTTCGTTATATAAACTTAAAATATGTTGCTTTATTCATTTTGCCAGGAATAAGTTGAAAATATCAAATTTAGCTTTCAATGAAGTCAATACAGTCCATAATTATGGGACTAGACAATTGGATTACTTGATAGCAAATACATTCAAGTCAAACATTGGCAAACAATCTGTTTTTCACAATGGAATAATTTTATACAATTCATTACCGAATGAGTTGAAAAATATACATGATGCAAGAAGGTTTGAAATCAATCTTAAAAAATACTTGCTCAGGACAATTTGAAAGAAAAATATGTGGCATGATTTGATTACTTAGGAATGAAAGATAACTTTATAAGACACAATATTAATTAGTTTCCACTGAGTGGAATTCATTATAGTTAACCCTTTATTATTATTTTTTTATATGTATTTATGTATCCCTATCATAAACAGAAATGTTTCTTGGGGTAATAAAGACAATCAATCAATCAATCAAAATTCAATAAAAAACAGGGTGTTCCGTTTGGAATAACAAAGTTGCTAGTTGTTTTTGATAGAAGTAGCAACACTGTATCGATGAAAATATTTTGGGCGGATAAAGAATGTTCAGTTATCAAGGCATCCCAATTTTCAGAATGTTCCGTCTTTTCGTTCTCCAGATACTTCTAATAGGCCATCCACCGTGGATCACCTTGTATACATCACGCGCAATAAACCAAACACAAACAACACAAACGCATTGCGCATACTCGTCAACCAATTTTTCCAAAAAATCACGTGGTATGCGTGAGTTTGATCTAGAGTGAATCTGAGGAGTACCAAAGTAACATTCTAAATGACTGAAAGAACCGAAGAGACTTCAATTAGTGTTCAGTATATATACTGTGGGTTTGACAATTTTCTTGTTCATCTTCTATGTATAAATAATTGAAGGTTGTTGTCATGAAAACAGTAAACAATTTTAAAAAATTGAAAAACTCACGAAGCAGAAATATTATAAAATATAAAATACATTTACGAAAGAAATACAGTCCATTCAAGCACAAAAACAATGGTCCTTCGAGTCGGATTCGATCCGACCAACAATCAAGACTACCAAGTTTTCCAACCTAAGAAGGATACAGAGCAGCACTATCAAGACTACCCGGAGTTTCTAAATAGCCAAACAAAGAAAGATTTCAGAGGTAGCTCGGATTCACCCAGCTATAAACGATTTATCCATATTTAAAGGTTAGCAAAGTCATAGGACGAGTGCGATGTTGATCTTTGTCTGAGTCAGTACTAGTACAAGCACAAAACGAATAGGTTATGTGAGACCAAATGATACGTTAATGAACGCTCCGAATAAAGGTTTTGAGATACTATGATAAAGCCAGTGCATAGAAGAATTTGACATTCAACTCTTTAAAAATACTTAGGTTTCAATAGCTTCTTGGATCTGACAAGATGATCGTGAACCAAGTTCATAAAAATATTTTATGAAGCGAGCTTACAACCACATTTTCAGTATGCCAATTATGTTTTAACTGAGGCAATGATGAATATATTAGCTTTATCCTATTCCTGTGAAATTCATTGTAAAAGCCTATAGGCTACAATGCATTCATCTAAGTCAATCGTAAAACCTACCTGATATTCTGGTATTACACGAAACACCTATATTTCTGCAGTTTTTGATATTGGCAGGTATTTTATTGAATTCGGTTGAGGCTGAATGAGTAAATCTTTTTTGTCCGGGTATGGAGCTAGCAGCGTCAAGATGAAACAATAGTTATTTTTGTATCTAGAGCGCGAAATGCTACTTTGGTGATCGAGATCTGATTTTTTTTGACGAGGCGTAGCCGAGTTGAAAAAATAGTCGAGATGACCAAAGTATTTCGCGCTCGAGTTGCAAACAAATATTGTTCTACAAACGCCAAAAAAGATAGTTCAAAGTAAAAATATGCTTAGCTTGATATAAAAAATAGTCGTGAACTGGCTTAAAAGGCCTTCCCCTATCCTCCCTAGGTACGCACGATGTTCCACGATCATAATAGGAATTTCCTTTCGTGCGCTCCAATAGATAAAACAAAGTTATTGTTGAACATTCAGAAATGCATGATTTTGTGGATGTTTGCTCGATTGAGAACCGTGAAGTTGAAATATAAATATCTCATATATTGTACATAATAATGCGCGAAGTAGGTACTTCGCGCACTGTTTTACTTCGCGCATTGTTAGGTGCAAGGTATCATGGTAACATAGGAAACTGAAAAAAGTGTCACTCCGCACTTTGTTTTCAATGCGCGAACGTTGTCATTTTTTGACTTTTGTAGAAAAATTATATTGTCTAGTTTCAAGATTGAGAATTTCAGAATTCCGTATGAAAATAATATTCGACTTCAGTTTTTTATTTATGATATTATATGTGTTTGAATTCTATATATGTCATCTAAAGAATACGTATTTGTTACTTCATACTATTGATTGGTTGGTGTATCAAATGGGAGACGATATAGTACTTTCAACGATTTTCTATATAATGTTGATATTTTATTGAAATTAAATTTTTGAACAAGATTCCCAAACATTTATTAAATAGTTGATACGACTTAGTGTATGAGAGTAAAGAATCATTTCTGCAATCTTGATATCAAGTTTGGGACATAATAATAATAATAATAATAATCCGTCTTTATTTCCTCAAAAGAATATTACATAGTAACATGAGGCATAGGTGGTATCTGCATCAGGCGAAGTTTAGCTAGGAAGCTATTCTTACACTCAACCTGTGCTCGACTTGAAACCTAATCCTAATACTAATCCTAAAAACCTACATCTAGCTTGACATCTACATTTTCACTTATTGTCTCACATGTAAAGTATGATTCAACAAATTGATCTTAATTTTTTTGCGGAATTGCGTCGATGGTGATTGTTTGAATTCTATTGGTAATGAATTATACAGTATAACCGAGTTGTATCAAACAGAGACGTGGTATGATGAGGCATTGTTAATTTTAGCTGATGTCTAACATTTACATTATGGACATTTTGTCTGAAAATGATTTTTTCTCTAAGATAAGCTGGAGTTGAATCCTTAAGCAACTTGTGAATGAAATTAAAGAAATAATATTTTGAGGAATTGCTCATATCTAACCACTGAAGTTCCCTGAGTTTATGGGACACATGATCATATTTTCTCAAATTGAAAATGAGTCGACAACATGTATTTTGAATTTTCTGGATTCTGTAAATGGTTCTCTGTTCCAAACAGGGAAAATAAGCGATGTTACAATGCTGGAAAATTGACAGTATGAGACACTCACATAATTGGTTTCTCAGATTTAAACTCATCTCATCTCTTGTTTGCAAAGAGCAATCTCAATCGTGCATATGAGCGCTTGTAGCAGAATACTAGAACATACGGTCTATCAATAGAATAAATGAACATCCTGTCCAGATTTCCAGATTGTTGCCATAGTAGACGTTATTTACGGCTACATGAAATTGTTTTCAAAAATCATATTCTCTTTCATAAGATATATTTAACAGCCTAGTGGTGTGATTGATATACAGATTCGTACGATACTATCTGCGTAACGCAATTGGACCTGGTGTTAGGTAAGTTACTCATTCTAGGATATTGTAGTCAGCATCATGTTAAGATTATCTCTATTTTAGATTGTCAAATTTAGGAAGAATATAGATACTCATTGGTAGTGTTCTCTGTACTGAACTTCATTGTGCAAACCCATATTCGTTACACGCTGTATTAATGTCTTGACATCTTCTCAATGCACCATCAATAATTGGAGATATTTTCTTTGTCGTCAAAACATCAATATGATTGTCCCACTTCAACCTGTCATCAAATCAAATACCAAGATAATATATTATCTGGTAAGTTTGTTTTAAGAGTTCGTTGATTATATTGAGTTTGAGGTAATTTTTTTGTTAATGTTTTTGGTGAAAAATCATATATTCTGTTTCATTAGTATTTTTTTATCGCTTGGAGCGCACGAAATGAAACCCCTATAATGTTCAAACAACATCGTGCGTTCCTAGGGAGGATAGGGACAGTAGGTAGGTATTGGAATTTTTTTTTGAACTTCTGGAGATTATATGTTGTTGGGAATACTTCCTCAGGCAATGAATTCCAGAGCCTAGCCGTTCTATGGATGAAGGAGTTTTGATAAAGTGCTGTTCGATAAAAGGTTAGAGTGTAGCCATTTTTCAAATATTTTCTGTTGAATATTACCCAAATTGGCTCCCATGAAGGGATCCCAGATGTGGACGACGCTGTCGCAGGACGCGACCAATCGGAGGCTCTCCACGAACGTTATCGACAGAATAGACTTCCTGTGAGCCGAATAAGTCCACTGGCAGTTCGACGTAGTGGATCCGTCCCCTTGGCTCCTCAACGACCACAGCTTGACGGTCTTGTCCCGGCTGCCGGACAGGAAACTGTAACAGTGTTGCCGTTATTTTATCTCTTGGAGCACACGAAAGGGCATTCTTATAATGTTTGAGCACTGTTGCCACCTCAGAAGTAGTAAAAAGTTTCACGTAGAGAACACTCAAAAAACTACTTAATGATAAATTTGACATAAATGCACCGAGAATTTTTGGTAATCTGGTAGTTTTTCACTTCCATTTATACTACTAGAATATCACCAGATAAAGGAAGTTTAGCTGACCAACGAGTTTTGAATTAACGATCTGAACATAGTCAATTTCTTCAACATGTTAGGTGTCAACTGGAAAATTCAAATGTAGAGCTAACAGGAAACAAAACAATAAACCTATTTACAACACCAGTGACATCATTAGGTATATATTAGATGTTACATATAAAATAATAAATAAAATCTAGAAATTACGACTTCTGAAATGGTACAAAAACAGCCAAAATTTAGGTATACATGTAACCGTTAATAATTCATTTCAGTTGAAACTGGTTTTTTCATAAAAACTCCTCTCCTAGTTTCATTTATTTCATTCTTCATTATAAACATTACATTGCATCTGAAGTCGGGATTGGCGCAGTGGAAGAGCGTCCGTCTCACGACCGCAAGGTCGTCGGCTCGATTCCCAGCACGGGCAAGGAACTTTTTTCAATATTTTATTTACGAATTAAATATTGTAAAGTTTCGGAGCATCGGCTGGGGATAGTCCTGCACGATTCGCTGTTGCGTTTCAATTAACAGTGCTGCTCCTAAAGTGGCGCATGGAGTTAGTAACAACGCCTACACAGAACACGCAGAAAGATATGATGATGTGGTTGTGAGCATCAGAGAAGAAGTAGGACGGTGTATGTGGGTGGGTGTGGAAAACTACCAGCTGAGCGTGAGAGCGGGCCAATGCTGCTTAGTGGACCTCGGTTTCAAATGGGGGTTAACGAGAATACCTAGCAGGTCTGCCTCTGCAGCATATGGTAGTGAGTACATTACTAGCCTACAAAACACAGCTGAAAAACTCTGAAAAGAGAGCTGATGGGTGGTGCCTGAAAATGATGTTAGCCAGCTCTCTTGAGCGAACCACATCAGTCATTGAAAACACTTGGGGTTTGCAGAAAGGTCCCATTGGGGACTAGTTGCTGACGTGGAAACGTCCCCCACCAGTACCAGTAACCAGTAACCAGTTACATTGCATCTCATATAAATATAACATTAAGACAGATTCATATCTGGTATGAGATTATTCATGGGTTATTAAATTGAATCATAGTTATTGAAATAAACAACAGATTCAATAAAAAAATAAAACAAAAAGCTCGTTAAAAGTACATTATGACATGATGAAATAAATTAGTGAATGAGAAATCATTCACTGAGGTTTGATTTTCTCTTTGCAAGAGGATATGTTTCTTGACTTTTATTTTGAATTGGGTGAAAATTCTAGTCGTGTGTTCGAATTAGACTCTGAAAACAATATGAATGAATGATTCTTATTGTAATTATGTGATCACTGAATGTTATAACACAAATATACTCATCGGGCTAAGTACGCTGAGGATTGTTTTGATCAAGAGGAAGAGTTTAAAATTAGAAAAGTGGTGCATAAATGTATCATAGTTCTCAAAAAAATAAACCTTAATGATAGTTAATGAGAGCAACAAATTAAAGAAAAAGCGGTATGCTCCACCTTCATTTTCATTTTATGTCGTGATGTCGTGATGTTCTGTGCCCCTGTCACTGTTTTTAGGTTAATTGAAAACAAACAGTTAAAAAGAAGAGCATCCAGTGATCTTAATAATTTTCATTTAGTGTAGTTTATCTATGATTCAGGCATTAAAGACATTCAAGAAGCACCTGTGTACCCGTGTAAATATTATGTTGAGTCCTTATTAGAGAAAAAAGAAAGGATCATTATAAAAATAACCAAATTTGCATAACAATGTCATTACCTCTTTTTCCAAAATGTACCTAGTCGAAACCACTCAACTACTCATTATCTACTTGAATTCTTGAATGCTTTTTTCAAATAGTTTTGTTTTCAATTAACCTAAAAACGGTCACAGAAGTCACAGAACAAAACAAAAATGTGTCATTTATCTTACAGGCAGCCAATATGATAACTGAAATAACCTCAAAATCACTTGATATCAAAGTTTTTATAATTTACAGCGATTAGGACGCCGGGAATCGATGAGGACAAAAATTGTATCAATATTTTATGGAAATAACCTGTTTTCAGTCGTAGAAGTTTTTAGCTACTTTCAAGGTTGACAAGGAATTGCTGAACTCGTCCATTGACAACAATCACTAGATTTCACCATATATTTAGGAAAATTCACCAAAATAAACACCAACCACAAATAGCCATATTTTTTCACAAAATGAAAACTTAAACTACCTTTTCTAGTATAAAATCCACTAAGTTGGCAACACTAGGGTGGATAGGAAGAGGAGGTAGGTTCAGGAGTTTTCTTTGAACCCTTGGAGATTATAAGTTCTTGGAAATACTTCCTCTGGCACAGAATCCCAAAGCTTTGTCGATCCATCGACATATTTCAAGGTCGACGACGAAAGTATGTGCTGACTGGTCATGTCGAATTCGTCTGATTGGTATTGCTAGTGATACTCTCAAGTTCATCTATCAGCAAATTGCTAAACTATCTAGAAATATCCTTTTCTCTGAAGCAGGAAAATCGCTAACTATGATATTCTGAAGGCTTTTGAATGAAAATATTTCGGGCAAGCCCTGATGCAATATTCATTCTTGCATACCGATCTCTACTTTTCGCTACTCAACAAAAAGTAGTTCACCTTGTTGCTCATAGATACCGCCACCTACTAAATATAATTTCTGGCTTCATTGCTCCCATGAGGATGGTTCATCTTATTAGTGGAATATAATGTTCAATCACAATCACGGCACATCTGTCAAAAACTCAAAATTGTCTAAACGAGTTGCTGATTTATAAATACTAGACGCGAATGAAAACATAAAATGATTGAAAAACAGTAATGAAGCTATGAATGAGATCAAATTACATGATCTTTCAGGTTATATAATAGTAATATATCAGAATAAGACGAGTAGGAAGATTTGAGGGAGAGTGCCAGTCTTAACTTCACCGACAATAGTCCTTGCTGCAATTTGGTCAAGGAAAATGTGTTTTAATAGAAAATCGGCACTTCCTTCTAGGAACATATGTAGGACAAACTAGAAGATTCATTGTTGTAGGTTCAAGGAACATCTTGGTACCCTTGGAATATGGTGAATTGGGTACATAGAGTGAATTAAAATTCTTCATTATCCACACTAGTGTAAAAAATCGATGATTGTGTTTCCTGTTGGTGAATATTGAACAGCCAACTGACCTGTTCTCGTTGTCCAAAGCGTACAGACACTTGACGCTTTGGGTGTGGCCGACGAACGTCTGCAGCTTGATTTGCTTGAAGTTCAACGCCCTGTTTTTCTCCGATCGACCAATTTCGGATTCCCAATAGGCCAGCCAATTGCCGCGAAGGTGTCTAGTGCTGCTTTCCACTCGGTTCCTCACCTTCAAGAATATTAGAAATACAAATAATGGATAGCAGTTGTAACATGAATTCTTTTCATTTTTATAACTATGGTTCTGAGAAAAGTGTGTCAGTATATAAATTCAAGTGGGTGTTTATACCCTAATTCTATTTTCCATCTACGACAATGATTGATTTGACAGAAAATCTAACCTCTAGAATCGTTTCTTTTAATACAGGCGCTACTAGGGAAATTGAAAAGACAAAGAGTAGAATCGTTACCACCGATACAACAAGGCCTGCATGCTCCGTGGGTGACGTCACTTAGTGAGGCCTAACCAGCGGCTCGAAACGACGAGCGCTTATAGCGCTATAAGGCGACCGCGTATTTCGATTTTAGTTTTAGATCAGCATTGAGCCGATTTTGCTGTTTTTTGAAGGGGTTCCGGTTAAAAAAGGATGCCAGTCGTCAACTGAGCCCTTCTTCGCACCCCATTCGATTTTATTATGGAAAAACGAAGTTTTAAAGCAAAAACCAAGATAAAACACAAATATCCACCTACAGCAACCCATTCGAATTAAATATATTGGCAAAAATTGTGGTGAAGGTAAACTTCACACCTACTTATACAGGGCCCGCAGAACATAAACTTATCGTGAGATTGATCGAAAGAAAATTGTGGAAAATGTATTTTATTTTCATTGACATGCCGTTTGTTTCGATTACCTATATTTATCTAGCAGAATTCCTATTACCTGAAAAAATAACCAGTGAGTGTTTTCAATTTTCTGTTGTTGGATTTTTCACCCAAGTGGATCGTTACACTTGAAACCGTAATTTTTAAGGGTAAAATTTTATAATGAAAATGTGAACAAACCACTATTTATTGAGATATTTCAAGAAAAAGTTCAAAATTTCGCCTTCTTTCTCCCCTTGTGTTGGGGGCATTTGAATCTACTTGCTCTTATTTTGTCAATTGGACATTTTATATACTCATGATGTACTTCGATGGCACATTTTTATATAGAAAATTCAACAGGAAATATGATTTTTATGGCGAGTTTTTCATATTTAGTGAACAAGCATTCCAGATGACGACCATTTAATCAATAGTCAATCAAAATACGAGATGTCAAATGCCAATAGATTGCTTTCGAATGACATTACACACGCCATTATTTTGAATGATATTCTTCCTTCTTTTCACTAAATATGGATTAATCACAAGAAAATCATATTTATAGTTGAATTATATATAAATTGTCCAATATGATGAAAAAAGAAGGGAAATTTGTTCTAAATGCCATCCAGAAGACAGGTGAAAAAGAAGGTGAAATTTGGAACTTTTTAGTCAAATATCTTCATGATAAATATCATGATAAATGCAGTTTCACCTTTTTAAGTAGAGTGTTTGTAGTTCATGTTAATATGATAGTTGCAATTTGATCATTGGAATGAATTCTGCATTCATTGCCACGAGACAAATGACCGTTTTCAGAAAGAAATTTGAGAATGAGAATTAAAAATGCCCGTTTATTATGAACATTCAAGAAAATTTTCTCGAATTCAGAGATGATTGACTATAATATACGAATACAAAACTAACTGCACAATCAAAGCTTTTCTATTTTTCCTCTACTTATACTTTTTATGAGAGAGTAATTGTCTTCTATTATTAATTTATCATTATAAATTAAGCTCTGTTTACTACTGAACTTAGATGGAGTAAAATCCTCGCGGTGAATTGCATATACCATAGATCTCATATACCCACATTTTCGATAGCTCCTCGTCCAACGGGAAACTAAAAGCATGAACTTTTGAACCACCCACATAATTCCCCCGACAAAAGGGAACACAACACTTGAAAGGCATTGTTATTTCGCCGATCACAACACAAAATATTTCACAAAACAGTAATTTTTCCGCCAATTATTTTGATGAATAAACAACAAAAGAATTCGGGACCGTTTCAAAAACATACGTGAATCACCGATGAATTAACACGAACTGACGCGTTAGTCGACAAGCGATAAAATAAAACACTGGCCTCTCTTGGTGACGTCACGAGCTGTTTACGTCAGAGTCTGCTAGCCTTGTTGTATCGGTGGTAACGGTAGAATACATGTATTATTCTTTTATTCACTGAAACCATTATAAGATAGAAAGTAGAAAAGGACAGAGGTTCAGCTGTGTCCAAACTCCTATCTAACTAATACCATCCAGTGACTCTAGTACACACTAGAGTTCCTAAATGTACTTGACACTGCTGTTTTGACGTTTTTTGTATATAAGAGTACGGACACTAGACAAGCAGTGACAATCAAACATAACCACAAACGATTTTGAAGCAAATCATATGTTTTGCCAAACAAGGACAAGAATATGTTTTTCACTTAGATAAAGGATCCTCGCATCTTCCTTCCTCCACAAGTCCTGGGAAGAGTACATCCATATATATTTCTCTGTCTTTGATTTTTGTATGAGTATGCATAGCGTCTCCTCGAGTAGGTAAAAGTGATAAGAAATTTATTTCTTCTCGAAATATTGAATGATAAGGCTGAAGGACCCCAATGGAGGTCGATATCAAGTTGATATGTACATATATATACCAACGAAATACATATACTATTCCCAAGGAACAAGCCTCTTATATGTAGGTATAAATATACGTTCAGTTGAATATTTGTTCATCACAAAAGTTCAGAATGAGGTGAAAACTGATCAATTTCGACCAATGAAACATACTTTTATTTCGTATAGAACAATATCACTTGTACAAGAGTGGTAGGTAATAAGTAATTAATAAATGGACAAACGATATGGCAACAATAATAGCTGATTTCAGTTAGGTAAATAATAAAGGTTCTCCAAGACACCGCTCGACTCACTATAGATCGTCGTTCACATTGCTAAAGGGGATTGTTGGTTTGAACCCAGCCATCGGAAGATCATTTTCAATACCTAACATATATGGTGCACTCATTAAGCGTTCTTGTTCTGTGCTCTTTTTGCAATTGCAATTGCAATTTTTGCTCGTAGCTTGGTACCCAAAAAGTGATTCAAAATTCACTAGGAGCTAGTTATGTAGTCGTCTAGCACTTCTCACTACGCATGTACATGCATATTCAGACTTATTTTCCAAGTCTCTATTTTTTTGTTCTATTTGCTTTCTGAATTTCTCACTCTCTTCCACTCGTAAACCTTGGATTTTTCAATATTCCTGCTCTAAAAATTCGATTCTCATGCATTTTTCTACCAAAATGTGTTCGAAATTAATCAGTTTTTCGTTTCTTGTTGGTTCTAAATTGGAATAAGGTTTTTTTCGATACTCGCTCAGTTTATAAATTGTGGGTTCGGCTCTTTCTCTATACGATCCTATTATTCAACATCAAATTTTCCGTTCTGAAGGGTACCTGATAAAATAGATAGAAATTTGAATACCTCGCAAATTTTGTGGCCTGAACATATATTCCACGCCGGCCGCATCATATTCTGTTTCCATTTTTGAAGAATTACTTCATCCAATGGAAATTCGAATAGAGTGAATTGATTTCCAGTGTTCTCACAGTTGAAAACTGCACAAACTTGTGTCTTTCTCCTAACTCTCTCAATTTGTCAAACCTTCGATATTTATGTCATGTACGTCCGTGTACTGTCAGTTCCCGCTTTTTCCATCGATTTATTTGTGGTTATGTCTGATTGTTAGTGCTTGTCATAGTGTCCGTACTCTTGATGAACAAAAAACGTCAAAACAGCAGTGCCAAGTACATTCACGAACTCTAGTTAAGATTAGTGCTTCATAATCATGAAATGTAATTTGTCAAAGGCCCATTCACTCACCAAACTGAGCAAATCCATGTTGAGGTTGTCCATAACTTCCGGTTGCACATCGATCCTGTTCCCAATCATAGCAACATTACTCCCTATACTGCTCGTACTAGTAATGCTCTGACTCCTCGGAAAATTCGACAACTTCAACTTATCCTGGCCGCCCGAATTCAACAAACTCTCCTCGTACTCTTGGCACAAGTTTCGGACGTTCTCGTGATTCTTCAGGGAGACTTCCAGGAAGCCGGAACCAACCAAGTTGATGAAAGGCAAGTAGGCTGTGTAAGCTAGCTCAGGAGTGAAAACCTCTTTTATTTCTTTCAATGTTTCGTTTGTTAGGTTAGTTTCTTCCGAGAGCGAACAATCGTCGTTTAATTTTTCGCTGCTAGGAGAATCTGGGGTTGGTTTTTCGTTTTCGATCTTTGGATCGATATTTGGTTGTGCTAGACTAATCTGAAACGAACTAATTAATATTTTGTATTGCAGTTTAGTTTCGCCACGGACGTACAAATGAATAGATATTATGAGAACTTCACAAACCTATACAGGGTGATTCAGTGCCTATTAATATGGGTCCGAAAATGCTTCCTAAGGAAGATACGCCCCTTTGAATAGGTCACCTTAAAGAAGATATTTTCTATTTTATTTATTTATTGAAAATGTGCCTTCCAGTAAGAATCAAGTTCTGGTATAAGGAAGTATAGTTAACAATAATACCTTAAAAACTATACAATTATAATAAACTCATAAATAATATAATATTTTAATACTTTAAGTATTAAATTTTGACAATTTTTTTTTTGAAATATTGTTTATTCAAGCAACATTTATTACAATACAATTCAACCAATGTAAAAAATCTCCAATCAGTGCTTCAAACACTGGCCTCGAGATCAACAACATTTAAAATAAATACAGTGTTACAAGGGCAGTTAAGTAATGTTTATATAAACTTTCAATTTCCTAACAAAACTCTTATAATTATTCAAGTCTTTTATAAACTGAGGTAAATTATTGAATGTTTTGATTGCATCTACGATCGGATTTTTCAAACCTACATTTGTCCTTGTATATATTTGGTAGATGTTATTATGTGATCTTGTTTGGTAATCATGTACATCAAAGCAAAACTCAATATCAATGTTACTTTTTTGTTGATCATTAAGTATTTTATAAACAAGTTTGCATTGTTCTATAACCAGAATTTCTTTTAATCGAATCAACTTCAATTCTGAATAAATTATATTCGTGCTGGTGAGCCAATCATACTTGAATAATATTTTAAGGGTTTTGTTTTGCAATTTCTGAACTTTATCGAAGTTAACCTCTCCACACATTCCCCACACAGGCATAAGATACCTGAAGTGTGTTAAGAAATAAGAATTATAAACTTGAAATTTAGTTTTCATTGACAGCTGATAGTCTCGACATTTATACAGGGCGGATAGCATTGCAACAATTTTTTCAGAGATTTTGGAAATGTGTGGAGACCAGTTCAAATTTTCATCTACAATTAATCCCAAATATTTAATACACATCACTTTCTCTAAAGGTACACCATTTATGTTAGGTTGCAATTCGTCAATTTTTTTATTTTTCTGCTTAAATACAACATATTTGGTTTTATCAATATTAATTTTTAATTTATTTGAAAACTGCCATTTACGGTAAGCAATTAGATCATTATTTACTTGAGTATTGAGGGAGATTGCATCTGATCCTGCGTACAGCGGAACCGTATCATCTGCAAAGGTGAAATACCTTTCCCTCAGATTGGCAAGTTTGAGGTTAAGTATATAGAGGGAGTACAACAGCGGACCAAGGACCGACCCCTGAGGTACCCCGTAAGCACTGGACATCCAATCACTACTTCTATCTTGGAGTTTTACATATTGATTTCTGTCAAGTAGATATGTTTTGATTAAGCTGTACATAATTCCCCAAAATCCCATTCTAGATAATTTACTCAACAGAATATCTATACTCACCACGTCAAAAGCTTTTTTCAAATCAATAAAAATTGCTATAACTACTTCTTTTCTATCCACAGCCCTTGAGATATAATCTATGAAGTCTGTGGTAGCACCAAGTGTGCTACTGTTTTTTATGAAACCATATTGAAATTTATCGGTCAATTGGGTATCAATGAAAGATAACATTCTTTTCTTCATAATTTTTTCTGTTAGTTCAGAAAATACGCTCCATTAATTGTTCATGAATTTTTTATCTCCTGATTTGAAGAGTGGAGTTATTTTACTTATCTTCAGTTCCTGTGGAAAAATTCCGCTTTGGATAATTCCGTTGATCAATTGTACTAGAATTGGTAGAATGTATTCATTGAGATTATGTATATCCCTAACAGTAATTCCGTCGTATCCGGGAGCTGAGTTTTGTCTTAGTTCCTTGATGATATCTAACAACTCCTGTTCATTAGTTAAAGGTACGGATATTGTGTTCAAAGTTGGAAAAAGAATCATCTGTTTCGTTCAGAAATGATACATTTTTTAAGTTCGTATTTGAATTTTATTGTATTTCTGCAATTTTTTATAATATCTGGTAATTTGTTATATTCGAAAAGAGCAGCGTGGGTGAATCTTTTTTGGCCTATAGAAGAATTAGCGATATCAAGATGAAATAAACCATGTTGTCTAGTTTGGTTATCATGGAAACACATGAATGGAATCATTCTTTGACATAAATCCAATGAATTCCGTGACGTGAAATTTGCTATAATCTTTCGAAAATGATATCATTAACTCTCTCAGTCCTTAGTGATATCAATATTGATCCACAAAATCCACATATTTCTTTTATCTTTAGTCAAATTGAGTGATTGCAGTTATTTCAAAGATTCCGCTCTATTCAACTGTGAAATACTGGCATGCGCAGTACGAACTTGACCTCTCAGAGAGATGCGGACATATTGCCCTCTTCGATTAATGTTGGCATAATTTTGTTAATGTACGCGATTAGCAGTTTACTTGAGCCAGGCGAAGCAAAATCCTTAATGGTCTTAGGATGAGGGCACTACTCAGTATAGTATATTATTTTTCGTAATCCCATACTGTTATTTTGATTTGACCGTATTCAGATGACAATTGAGAAGTTAATGGTACAGCATCCGTCCGTTAAGATTGTTTAACGGTCGGCGGCCGTCAACTGTTCCATAACAATACGATGTTGGGATTTTTCTGTAGAATTACGTGGTACATGGTTTGTTCTTTCCTCGGAATCGAAATGTAATCTGTCAGCGGGATTACGAAAAGACCTGAACGACACACGGCCGATACGCAAATAACGGATTCGGTTGTTAAAATCCTCGGCTGCGCCTCGGTTTACAATATTCAACTTCATCCGTTATTTGCTACATATCGACCTGGTAACGTTAATAGATTGTAGATTGTAGAACGGGTCGTATAGGCTGGGAGACCTCTCGATCACTGCGACCTACTAGATCTATTGTGATTATCCTTATCTCGTTTTGGTCCTCTAACCCTAGACTTCTGAGGCCTAGAATTTTCCTGACGGTTGAATTTTCCACCTCAACAGGTGTGAGATAGACCTGTTTTATGTGATTCAGCCTTTGGCAGACTAATACTTTACATGAGCAAAGTATGTGTTCCGCGGTTTCGGTCGCATTATTGCAAAAGCGGCAAGTGTCAGTCTCCGCCAGGCCCATCTTCTTGAGGTGGTACCTCAGAGGGCAGTGTCCTGTGAGAAACCCTGTGATAAGCTTTAGCTCTGGTTTGCTGAGGCTGAGTAGCTCTTTGGCTCGGTTCTGCGAATGGTTGATGAACCTTCTCGCTTGTCGTAGACCTGGTTTTGAATTTCTTCACATTTCCTGAGTTCTCCCTCTAGGTGACATTTACTTATCCCACAAAAACGCTCAGGACCAAAGAGTGAAGATGCTGCACCTCTCTTTGCAAGGCGATCAGCTGCCTCATTTCCTTTGATTGCTTTATGCCCTGGAACCCACATAAGTGTGACTTTGTTGTCTTTTCCCAGTTTCATGAGTGTTTCAGAGTAGTCCCATGTAATTCTTGATGTGAAAACAAATGATTTTAGGGCTTTTAGTGCGACTTGGCTGTCTGAGCAGATATATATGTTGGCACCCCTCAGACCTTTGCTCAGGCACCTATGGGCGCATAGGTTGGTGGCATGTATTTCAGCTTGGAAGATAGTGGGGGAGTGACCTAAGGCTTCAAATAGCCTACATCCGGGTCCATAAACTTCCGCGCCTACTTCTTCTTCCATTTTCGAACCATCGGTGTACCAAACAACGACTTTTTATAACCACTTCAAAGGCAGGATCGAAAATGAGCCTGGCTGGCATTAAGTCCGATGGTTTGGTTGCAAATTCCATTTGTACTTCTTGTAGAATGACCATGTGACCAGTGACATCACCTGGTCTGGCCAATTCAGGGGAATTCAGTCTGTATGCACTGAGAGCTGCAGTCCTCAGGATACAAATATGCAAGGGTAGTAGATCAAGTATGGTTTCTATTGCTGCAGCAGGGCACGTACCGTTACCACCGATACAACAAGGCCAGCAGACTCTGACGTGAACAGCTCGTGACGTCACCAAGTGAGGCCAGTGTTTTATTTTATCGCTTGTCGACTAACGCGTCAGTTCGTGTTAATTCATCGGTGATTCACGTATGTTTTTGAAACGGTCCCGAATTCTTTTGTTGTTTATTCATCGAAATAATTGGCGGAAAAATTACTGTTTTGTGAAATATTTTGTGTTGTGATCGGCGAAATAACGATGCCTTTCAAGTTTTGTGTTCCCTTTTGTTGGGGGAATTATGTGGGTGGTTCAAAAGTTCATGCTTTTAGTTTCCCGTTGGACGAGGAGCTATCGAAAATGTGGGTGTATGCAATTCACCGCGAGGATTTTACTCCATCTAAGTTCAGTAGTAAACAGAGCTCAATTTATAATGATGAATCAACAATAGAAGACAATTACTCGCTCATAAAAAGTATAAGTAGAGGAAAAATAGAAAAGCTTTGATTGCGCAGTTAGTTTTGTATTCGTATATTATAGTTAACAAAATCATCTCTGAATTCGAGGAAATTTTCTTGAATGTTCATAATAAACGAGCATTTTTAATTCTCATTCTCAAATTTCTTTCTGAAAACGGTAATTTGCCTCGTGGCAATGAATGCAGAATTTACTCCAATGATCGAATTGCAACTATCATATCAACATGAACTACAAACACTACTTAAAAAGGTAAAACTGCATTTATCATGATATTTATCATGAAGATATTTGACTAAAAAGTTCCAAATTTCATCTTCTTTTTCACCTGTCTTCTGGATGGCATTTAGAACAAATTTCCCTTTTTTTTTCATCATATTGGACAATTTATATATAATTCAACTATAAATATGATTTTCTTGAGATTTATCCATATTTAGTGAAAAGAAGGAGGAATATCATTCAAAATAATGGCGTGTGTAATGTCATTCGAAAGCAATCTATTGACATTTGACATCTTGTATTGTGATTGACTATTGATTAAATGGTCGTCATCTGGAATGCTTGTTCACTAAATATGAAAAACTCGCCATAAAAACCATATTTCCTGTTGAATTTTCTATATAAAAATGTGCCATCGAAGTACATCATGAGTATATAAAGTGTCCAATGACAAAATAAGAGCAAGTAGCTTCAAATGCCCCCAACACAAGGGGAGAAAGAAGGCGAAATTTCGAACTTTTTCTTGAAATATCTCAATAAATAGTGGTTTGTTCACATTTTCACTATAAATATCGGTTTATCAGACAAAAATACGTGAGTACCGAAAAAAATTTTCAAAAAAAAACCATCGCATGATTAATGCAGTTTTACCCTTAAAAATTACGGTTTCAAGTGTAACGATCCACTTGGGTGAAAAATCCAACAACAGAAAATCGAAAACACTCACTGGTTATTTTTTCAGGTAATAGGAATTCTCCAAGATAAATATAGGTATTTGTAACAAACGGCATGTCAATCAAAATAAAATACATTTTCCACAATTTTCTTTCGATCAATCTCACGATAAGTTTATGTTCTGCGGGCCCTGTATAAGTAGGTGTGAAGTTTACCTTCACCACAATTTTTGCCAATATATTTAATTCGAATGGGATGCTGTAGGTGGATATTTGTGTTTTATCCTGGTTTTTGCTTTAAAACTTCGTTTTTCCATAATAAAATCGAATGGGGTGCGAAGAAGGGCTCAGTTGACGACTGGCATCCTTTTTTAACCGGAAGCCCTTCAAAAAACAGCAAAATCGGCTCAATGATGACCTAAAACTAAAATCGAAATACGCGGTCGCCTTATAGCGCTATAAGCGCTTGTCGTTTCGAGCCGCTGGTTAGGCCTCACTAAGTGACGTCACCCATGGAGCATGCAGGCCTTGTTGTATCGGTGGTAACGCACGTACGCATAGCACCTGTTGTAACGTTAATACTATAATACTATAACGAGCAAGGAATGAAGTTTGCATTCCGTGCGAGTTATGTACTATAATTTTTTACGGCTGTAACAGATGACAGCGAAATTTTCGAATTCTTCGGCTTGTAGCCACCTGATTTCCCCTAAGTAATGCTCATCTATTGAACAGAGCCGCCATTGCTCGAAATTTGACATTTCATGGGAGATGAGAATTTATGGAATAATAACACAATCAAGTCATTGTGAAATCATATACGGAAATAAAATTGATGACATACAAAGTACACCATTATTGATTTATCGAACAGAGTGAGAAAATAATTATTCGCATTATTATAAAGATCAACCAGTATCAATGAGTAGCTGTGAATTAGTTTGATGAAACATATAGTCCGAAGCTTCACCATTTTTTGTCTAAAGAACTTTTTCCAAGAGCTGATAACCTCCAAAAGTTAAATAAAAATCCCAATATTTACCTATCTACCTCTCATTTCTGACTACCCCAAGTACACACGATCATTTAAGGAATTTTCTTTCGTGTGATTCAAATGAAAAAATGAAAAAAAAATCTTCCTCTTCATTTATACGTCCATGATCGATATCAATCCGAGATAGAAAATAGCACCAAGCCCTACCTGACAACAATAACATACATTTAAAGAATCCAAATGTGAGACAGACTGAATAGATTGCTTTGTCAGCTGTATTTGAAAAACACGTCAGATGGCGTAACGCTTATTTTCTATCGCGAATAAGTTCATATCTTACCTTATCTACATACATGTCGTTTTTTCTATCGTAAACTTTATCAAATATAAGAAAAAATCTTTGGAGTGCAGGTACTACCAGGTACTTCTTAGTCATGTCGGTGCCTATTCTAATTGAGAGTACGTAAATGACGTCTAAATATTTACGAGCTAAGGTATTCCTAGAAAAATAGCCACTGGGAAACGTGTGTTCTGTGGAATTCAACAGTCTCACTATTGGATGGAGTATGTTTTTCAATATCACGTCCTGAAATAATGAAAAATTGTTTGAGAAAATATCAAATCCTACGGACTCGGGATTTTATCAATCAGTTTATCGTTCGTTCGTTCAAATTGGACAAAAATAAAATCCACTTGTTGAATGCGCGCTTCAAGAAAAAATTTTATCAATATTGATAAATGATAAGGTTTCAACAAAGGTAGAAGTCCTTAAGGTAGACACACTGAAGGTTCTTCAGACCTTTCACTTTAGGAAATATTTTCCCAAATTCCCAGTTCCAGTTTGTAAATTCTTCCATTCCCAAATTAGCAGAGTTGCCATTGTTTTTTATACTAGCGTCAACACTGTATTGATCGAAACATTTCAGACAGAAAAAGCATGGACTTTTATTTCGAAAAATGATATGGCATTGTGAAAAGACATTATTTGAGAAATTTTTACAGATTTATCGTATTTTTACCTGTAACTGATCCATCAACATCACATCGGTAAAATATGGAATGATATATTTCAACAAGGCCAAACAAGATATCAGACCACCTTCCAAATTTGGTGTTAGCCTCTTCTTACAAAGTAGTATCATCTCAGTCATGTAAGGAATGTATTGGTATAATATTATTTGCTCGCCATAGAGACCTGAAAAATTGATACAATAATTGTTAATAACATTGAACTGTCAGATATTCGAGGAAATTACGGAACAATAGATGGCGCTGAAATAACGTGAAATAACAATAACAAACATTTTTCTTTAGAATCCAATGTGAACTGGTTATTTCAAAATCCATACTTTGGGAAACTGAATAATCATCAATCAGAATCGATCGAAAATTCCTCAAAAAATCAAATTTTCTAGCTGATCAATCCTTCACCTCGATTTTCGCACAGAAAATAGGTTGAGAGGAGAGAAAAAGAATGACTGTATATACATCCCCTTACATTCTGCCTCTTCTTTTGTGAAAAAAAACAATTGATTGGTTTGAAAATTTGACTCTTTGAGGGATATTAAATCATTTTTTGATAGTTATTTATTATAGAAGGGAGAAAAGTAGAAGATTTTAGCTCCAGGTTGTGTTGTGTTGCCAAAAAACCGTGAGCTAAAATCTGATATTTTTCCCGTGTATAATACACTATTTTTTCTGTGACAGAAGGAAGGACGAATCAATATTGAGAAGATATTACATTATTTTGAAATCTGAAAATTATCGACGTGAAATTTTAAGTTTTTAACAGTAGGGACACCTGCGTTGTAGGCATCTTTATCATTCTCTTTAAGTAATCAAATATCTGATGTCACTTCTGTCAGTCTAATTCTGTGATTTGATTTCAAAAAATTGCGGATTTAGTGGTTGTTTAGTAATAAACGTAACCGCGAAGTCGAATGGAAGATAAAAGGACTTGCAGTTCTATCTCGGAGACGGTATTATTGACTCATTTTTCGGAACTATAGCACAACAAAAGCCATCTCAGTGTATATACAGGGTGTCCGCTAAAAGGAGGTCAATCCATTAACCATATATTCCTTGAACAAAAATAATATGAGTTTCTAAGTATCATTTTTCATTTTAGCCCTTCATATTCGATATACAGGGTGTCAAAGTTGGAAATTAAAAACTGTTTTTTTTCTAATTACTCGCGTAATTAATAAGATATTAATCTCAAAATTAGTACATTACTTCAGCACAAAGAGTTACATCGTGTGAGGAAGACAAAACAGAAAATAACTGTCAAATATTCAAAATACTGGGGGTCAAGTACACACTTACCCCCATATTTTTCTTGTTCGTGCGCTAATGACTTCTTATCTATTTTTCTTCAAGTGTACAATCATTTTTGAGTATTTTTAGATTTTTGTAAAATTCCGATAAAATTATTTGTTTTTAAGATAATTCGAAAAGTACTGGTTATTGTTTCATGCCTCGCGGCTTACGGTAATCTCATAATGTTCACATACTCCTATTTATTTCGTCGAAATTGGAAGAGGGCGTATCTTTTTACGTACGAAAAGGTAAATATGGAAATACTGGGTGCTCAGAGCAAATGTACTAAAATAATTTTTACAGAAAAAAAAAATTGAAAAATTGTAAAAATTATTTTAATACATTCGCTCTGAGCACCCGGTATTTCCACATTCACCTTTTCGTACGTAAAAAGATACGCCCTCTTCCAATTTCGACGAAATAAATAGGAGTATGTGAACATTATGAGATTACCGTAAGCCGCATAGGCATCAAACAATAACCAGTACTTTTCGAATTATCTTAAAAACAAATGATTTAATCGAAATTTTACAAGAAACACAAATTACTCAAAAATGATTGAACACTTGAAGGAAAATAGATAGGAAGTCATTAGCGCACGTACAAAAAAAATATGGGAGTAAGTGTGTACTTGACCCCCAGTATTTTGAATATTTGACAGTTATTTTCTGTTATGTTTTCCTCACACGATGTAACTCTTTGTGCTGAAGTAATGTACCAATTTTGAGATTAATATCTTATCAAATACACGAGTAATTAGAAAAAAACAGTTTTTAATTTCCAACTTTGACACCCTGTATATCGAATATGATGGGCTAAAATGAAAACTGGTATTTAGAAACTCATATTGTTTTTGTTCAAGGAATATGTGGTTAATGGATTGACCTCCTTTTAGCGGACACCCTGTATATAAGTGATATATATAAGGGAAAAAAGTACTCACTGTTTTTCCACGGGAAAAAAGTAATTTATGAAAAGTGACATTTTATAACCTGCCAACAGAGATGAAATGCCAAACTTTTTTCCCGTCACAGAAAAAAATTATAAACTTTGAAAGACTTAATCTCGAAAGCTATTGGGTCTACAGAGACAGTTTTTGTATCATATTGTAGTAAATTTGAACTGCTTTAAAAACGTCCCGAGAGTTTTTTTTTCAAAAACGCCAAAATTTGAAAAAATTACGATTTTTTCGCGGTTTTTTCGATTATTGACAAAGTTGCATTCAGTGCTCGAGGTCACAAACTTGGATCATTCATAAGGCCAACATCATGAAAAAGTCTGCAAAAAATCAGAACTACCGGATTCGACGCATACTACCCCCATATGTTCATGCGACAAAGTTACTGGACTATTTTCAAATTACAAAATTACCCGAACAACGATTCTCACCTGAAATACTCGACAAACACTCCAACACCTTGCCGGCTGCTTCGTCCCCCACCACATAGCCCCCAGCTATCGAAACTCCCCCCAAACTACCCCCTACAGCCAAAACACACCCCGTCAAATTCTCCCTACCGATGTAGCAAAGCGCCAACATCTTCAGCAAATTCCTCGAAAGATATTTAGCTGTCAACAATGGCCCCAAGCGGTGCGACAGCCACAACAAACTGTCCGAACTGGTCTCGGATATCTTCGGCTTGCCCCGGGCAGACACTCTGGGCGACTCAGAGCCTCGGGCAGACACTTTGGGCAACTCTGAGACCTCAAAGTCGAGCTCTAGCTCGCTCTTCTCGCTTTTTTTGCTGCCTACTTCGCAGCTGATGTGTGACAAAGTGGTTTTGCTTGTGGGGATGGGGATTGTTGGGGATCTGACCCCGGATTCCTCGGAGGTGTTGGCTTCGAAGGCTTCTTCTATGGAGTGGTTGAAGGTGAGCTCTGAGGCGACATTGAGTTGCAGGTGGTCTATGAGGAACTTTATTTGTTCCTCGCTGTTTTTTTCTTCTTCCAGCTCGAATACCTGTAGTGATGGATATATAGGGTGTATCTGAATAACACCGAAAAAATTCAAGGGGTGTTTGCTTGTGACATTCTAGCAAATGAAGTTCATATAAACATGTGTCCTAACTTGCTCCGTTTTTGAGATACAGGATGTTGAAGTTGAAAGTAACGATTATTTTTATTCATAACCCCCCGTATAAGCTTTCATGGTGCCATAATTCGGTATGGATGGAGACTGACATAGCCCCAAAATTTCAGAATGATTCTAATTGAGGTTCTTGAGTAATCTCAATGGAAGTCTTGAAAACACCTACATTAAAATTTGGTGTCAAATCGAATTTTTATCGTTGCCTCAAAAACTTAGCTAAATACAAAAATCACACAGAGGATAAAACAGTTGTTATTTCAATAATTCAAACTAAAAAAATAAGAAACTCAGAAAAACCGGTGGTGTACAGGGTGGCCAACTAAGAATCCAGATTTCCATACCTCTGTTGTCTTGAGAGATACAAAAAAAAGTTTCGCATTCAAATTGAAGTGATAACCGAGCTTCACATTTCAAAATTTCTTTGAAATACACAGGGTATTCCGTAAGGTCACAGCTTATCAAAGCTATGTTTTTTTCATTGGAACACCCTATATTTAATTCCATTTTTGAATTCTCCCTGAAGATCTGATTTCAACGATGTATCATACTTAGGGTCTAGCAGTGAAAGTTACTGAGATATAGGGTGAGCAGAATCGAGATTTTCCAAGTTCAGAATTTTTTTCTGTCGAAACTGTTCATTATTCGTCGAAACGGTTTACATGTCCCTATCTCAACTTTTCACTCACTATCAATTGGTGTTCAATTGACATTTAATTGAAACAAATTATAAATTTAGATTTTTGACCACGTTGTATCAATTGCAATTGAATACCAATTGATAGTGAGTGAAAAGTTGAGATAGGGACATGTAAACCGTTTCGACGAATAATGAACAGTTTCGACAGGAAAAAATCCTGAACTTGGAAAATCTCGATTTTGCACACCCTATATGTCAGTAACTTTCACTGCTAGACCCTAAGTATGCTACATCGTTGAAATCAGATCTTCAGGGAGAATTCAAAAATGGAATGAAATATAGGGTGTTCCAATGAAAAAAACATAGCTTTGATGTGCTGTGACCTTACGGAACACCCTGTGTATTTCAAAGAAATTTTGAAATGTGAAGCTCGGTTATTACTTCAATTTTGAATCATGGTTTTTTTTGTATCTCTCAAGACAACAGCGAAATCGAACTCTGGAGTCTTAGTTGGCCACCCTGTACAATGACATTCACCATGGAAATCGATAAATTTACCCACTGTGACGCCACTGGGAATATTATTTTGAATCTAAGTGCACTAGAATGAGCTCCATATTACTATTAACAAAACCACAACGTTTTATTGAAATTGATAAAAAGACAATTGAGAAATGAATAGAAACAAGATTTTTTATGAAAATATTAATACCCTGTATTTCTAAAACGAAGCAAGTTAGGACACATGTTTATATAAACTTTATTTCCTAAAATATCCCAAGGAATCACCCCTAGAATTCTTTCTGTTACTTAGATACACCCTGTATAGTATTTTACGTAACAAATGCGGAAAAGTCACTTACGCACTTGTTAGATACACCATTTTTTCTACTAGCGTGCGAAAAAAAAACCAAATTCAATTTTTTCCTCTCTCATTTGAGTGTGAAAGTTTTTCCGTAGTATTGCGAAAAAGTGACACTTTCAACACCAAAATTAGTGTGGAAAACTGGACCTTTCCGCACGCTAGTAGAAAAAATCAATGACGGTTATAATACGGTTGAATATTCAATTGGCAGGTGAACCACTTTTTTGATTATTTTTTATTATGCACACTAATGCTTCCAATTTAATTATATTTGAAAAATAAATCTGAATGGTTTCAAGGTTTCACAATTTCACAAGTTACTCATTTAAAAGGTCGCAATTCGACACTCATAACTAATGATGTCACGACTCAGTAATTGAAACACATAGTTGCCAGATATTAAAGTACATCTAAAATACTGGTTATCTATAATTACAGATTGTAGTGACAATTAATTCAAAACCTCATTCTACAATTTTAGTATCTGCTATCATTTTGAGGTAACCGTTTATTCTTCTTCTCTTAGTTCTCTTGTCTTCTCCTATACTTCTCAGACAATGTACTTGCCCTTTCTATATGAAGAATTAGCGACCTGCGACGGTTAATCGTTGATTCGATGTCTTTAACTAATATTTGAGACCATTATTATATTTATTATACGTATTTGTTAATAATAACTTGCTTTCCAATCATGTAATGATGATAAACTAAACAAAACGTAAATCTTGGTAAATTGTTCACTCCGAATTGTCACGATTCGCTCAATAAATTTCATTTTTATACCTATAATTTTTTTGATCACGATAGTTTCCACAGAAAAATCACCTCATATCACACAAAACACCGAGAAAGATTGTCTAAGCCTCCTCAACAAACTAAAATTGTTCTTATCCATCATTTGGTTGCCCCCTTACGAGAAACCCTCAGAAGTCTTCAAGAGACTTGTGCGAGCAAGGAATGGCAGAGGTCCTACCTTTTATCGTGTGATCCGAAACACTTTCTGAGGCCATCAGTAAAATTTCTGCGGTCGTGGTGGGAATCGAACCCACCTACCGGCAATCCAACGTGAATAGAATACTGACGCTTCAACCACGAGGTTACGCTGGTCACCTGCCTTCTGCCATTTTATCTGTCGAACCTCGAAATTCTAACACATTTTGAGGTTACCGGTAATTAATCTTTTTTCTTGCTCTCTTGTCTTCTCCTCTACCTTTTAAACAGTATTCCAGCTTATATGTTCGAAATTATCGCCATTTCTATGTTAGCCAGGCCACGCTAGACACCTACAGACCAGTTTAGAACTCTTTGACTCTCATCAGTAAGACCGCCGACTATGCGTAGCGTAGCCAAAAAAAAATCAGGTCGGCATTATATTCTCTCAGAGGCATCTTCCATAGACAATATGAGAGCAACGCCATCTGATTAGAAAAGAAGGAAAGTAACACTCCGAAACCAAAACTCCCATAAGGGAGTGGCTGGTTGCCCGGCTGGCGTAATTTCAACTACTTCTTCTTATTCTTGCTTTCTTGTCTTCTCCTCTACCTCTCAGACAATATGCCCGTTTATTTGTTTGAAATTATCGCTATAATTCACTCTAAATTGTCACGCTTCCCTCAATAAATTTCATATGTGTGTCCAGATGATTTTCCACAGCAAAACCAGTACACACAACACAATACACAACCTGTCGAAAAATAATCTACAAACCTCCTGAACAAACATCATTCATCAATTGTATTTGTCTGCGAGCATTTTTAGTTATTTTTCTTCTTTTTCTGGATCTGTTGTCTTCCCCTCTACCTCTCACATAGTATTCCAGCTTATACGTTTGAAATTATCGCCATTTCTATGTTAAAAATTATTGATCTGCGACGGTTAATAGTAAATTCGTTGTTTCCAACTAACGTTTGATACCTTATCATACTTATTTGTTGACAATTGTTTAATTTACAATCATATAATGATGACAAACTCAACAAAATGATTGTCGTGCTACATAATTCAAGATTCACTCGATAAATTCCATTTTTGTGCTCATAATTTCCAACATAATAATTTTCCACAGCAAAACACACAACACCACACACACACACCTATCAAAAAAATAATCTACAAACCTCCTCAACCGCAGACTCTCTCTCGCCTCTACCATTATTAGACTCCTCACTACTGGACCTCTCCCCTTCCTCAGCCTCTATCCCTTTGAGATGAGCCTCCACCAGATGTAGCACGCCCACCCTGTAGATATAAGTAACGCGTCCACTCTGTATTTGTAGTTTTAAATTCGATGTTATGTTTTGTGTGTCCGGTTGGTTATTTGCTACCGTTGTGGTGGCCTTGACTATGTTATGTGAATCGATTTCTGGTGCGCATGTAGAGATTCGCGGAATGTGTTGGGGAAGGAGAAAGGAAGGGCTAGGCCCGTGGTGGAGCTCTCAGGAGAGTTGCGAGGCAGTCGGCTGAGAGAGTGCAAGTCGACAACACTTTGTACGAGTCGATGTTTACTAGACGACAATTTCTGTGTATTGGTAGACGGAGGCCATCGACAACGAAGTTGGTCAGTCTAATTTTGCTTTAGTTCACAAATCCCGACCCGTTTGTGTTACAAACGGCAGGTGCCTGCTTGGACAACGAAGAGGATTTATGTAAAGTTTGTACGCCTCAATATATCTCAACTTCATGAGAATTATAACGACTCTACATGAACTGTGAGTACGCTTCTTCTTTTGACTATTTGGGTACGATTCATTGTGGTATGTTAAATTGTGAGTTGTACATTTACCTTGTTTGTGGACTCTTTTGATTAAAAGACTTTAGTATAGATATTAGGAATCTATTTTCGGTTTAGTTTAGTTCACCTTTTTGTTCGTGAAATAGTAAGCTGGTAGAATCATTGTGTTTACCAAAATATTTGATTCGGTTAGTCAATAAATCGTTTAATTATTTCGATTGGTTAATTATACATACATACATTTTATTGACCTGCCAAACCACCCCTGGATCACCACAGAGTGTGCTAAATGCATGTTTTTGTGCCAGACAGAGTTTATTACACAGAGCCACCACGAACTTGTCCAAGAAGCACCTTAGCCCCAGCCTCACCATGAGACAAAGCAAGAAGCTGTGGTGGTACAGCCTGGTTATTTACCTTAACAGCCATTGCTCCATTCACTATGCAGCAATAATTACACTTCATTCAAGACCTCTGTTTGTAGTTTTATTTGTCTGCTAGCATTTCGATGTCATTCGTTTATTCTTCTTATACCAGTGGGGCAGAGTATACATTATGTACTTGGGCTGCGTGTACATTCTGTATTGGAGCAGCGTGTGCAGCTGGAGCTGGATAGATTGTAGTTTCTTGCTTCTCCGTTGTGGTCATCAGCGGTATAGTGGACAGTACGAAGGGAACCATCGGGATCATCTACAGGATGATAGCCCTTCACTAAATCACCATCACGTTGTTTGTTTTTGCATCATAAATATACAAATATATAGTTTTCTTCTTATTCTTGCTCTCTTGTCTTCTCCTCTACCTTCCAGACAATATGTCAGTTTATTTGTTTGAAATTATCGCCATAATTCACTCTAAATTGTCACGATTACCTCAATAAATTTCATATGTGTGCCCATAATTTTTCAGATGATGATTTTCCACAGCAAAACCAGTACACACAACACAATACAAAACCTGCCGAAAAATAATCTACAAACCTTATTCATCAATTGTATTAGTCTGCAAGCATTTCCAATTTTTACTGCTTATTCTTCTTCTTTTTCTGGCTCTGCTGTCTTCTCCTCTACCTATCAGATTGTATTTCAGCTTATATGTTTGAGATTATCGCCATTTCTATGTTGAAAATTATTGATCTACGATGGTTAATATTAAATTCGTTGTTTCCAACTAACGTTTGATACCTTTTATCATACTTATTTGTTGACAATTGCTAATTTACGATCATACAATGACAAACTCAACAAAATGTTGCAACATAATTTCCAACATAATAATTTTCCACAGCAAACCACACAACACACACACCCACAAAAAATAATCTACAAACCTCCTCAACCGCAGACTCTCTCTCGCCTCTACCATTATTAGACTCCTCACTACTGGACCTCTCTCCTTCCTCAGCCTCTATCCCTTTGAGATGAGAAGCCCTTTTGGCCACCCTTCCAGAATGATCATGCAGCACAAAGTCCACCAGCTCGCGATCCTTGTAACCTCCCACAGCCTCCACCAGAGCCACCACGAACTTGTCCAAGAAGCACCTCAGCCCCAGCCTCACCATGAGGCAAAGCAGGAAGCTGTGGTGGTACAGCCTGGCGATTTTCCCTAAGTAGGGGAGATGGGAGTGGTCGGGTTCGTTCTCGTAGAGTTTGAGGAGCGGGGGAAGGAGGTATTTGGCGGATTTGCGGGGGCCCAGGACTCGGGACAGTGGCTCGAAGAGGTACCAGGCTGCGAGGACGGAGGTCGGTGGGTTCTCCATCAGTTGCTTGATGTACGGTAGGATGATACCTGTCGAATATAATAATAATAATAATGATAATAATACGTTTATTATTCCCCAAAAACCGTGACAAGTATAAGGTTGTAGGTTAAGCATACTTAATGTGGCGAATAAATGGCCAGAGTTCAGTTACATTCTACCAAGTAGATTGAAACTGTTCTTCCATTCTGGCCAGACCTAAACCTAACAAGAAACTATAAATCTAACGGCTAAAGAACCATTAGTATTAGTATAGTATAGTATATGAAGAGTTAAGAAGAAGAGTGAGAGAGGAAAAGAAGAGGGAAAAGAAGGAAAGAGACAAGTATGCACAGCAGGAGGATCACTAAAAATAAATAGAAACGATTCAATCTCATATATTGATACCAAAAATGAATCAGAAATTCTGGAGTTGAAGCAATTGTTTCGTTACCATACTTTTAAATGATTTAAGCGAACGACTGAAATCTGTTACACGAAGAGCATTAATAAGATTGGCGATGTTGTAAGAGAAACTTCTTTTATAAATTTCTTTCCTATGTCTAGGCACAGTTATAAGACTAGAGAGACGAATATACAAGTTATGAATATCACTTCTGAAAGAGATTTTATTATACAGGTATTCCGGCTTTTTTGGTTATAGCACTTTGTAGTAGCTGCAAACCATGTGCAATTCACGTCTGTTAAGCATGTTCAGCCAATTAACAACTTTTAATTTATGAGAAATCCTATTTCGTCTGCTGATACCAAAAATGAGTCTTAAGCAGGAATTCTGAACTTTTTGAATGCGTTTTATATCAATAACATCTAAGCAAGGTCCGTAGACAGTATCGCAGTAATTGCTGAGCTGGGATAACACCAATGACTCACTCACAAAGCATGTTGTTGATATCTTGTTCAAGATAGTGCCTAAGTGGGTAAATCATTTTCAAATTAGAATAGAATTTCTTCAGCGTATGCTTGACATGTTCTTTGAATCGAAGTTTATAATCGAATATTAACCCTAGATTTTATATCGATGTTTTTCTACAACCGACACAAAAGTCGTCCATATTAGTACCAAAATTAGCTCTTGAATTGACGTTTCTATCACTAACACAAAAATAGGTATGTTGCTGAGTAACATAATTAGTGCCTAGGAGCTAACGTTGAACTTCAGCTCCTAGAAACTAAAAAGGATGTACTAGACGTCATCAAGAATAATAGTAGATTGTTTTATTAGGATCAAAAGTGACACTTTGTTTGACAAGCGAATTTTGCATTTGCGAGACGGAGCGTTTAGCGAAGCCAACAACATGTGGAGGAGAATAATAATTTTTACTTCAGGGACGTACCAGATTTATTCCAAAGGGGACAAACACAAAAAATGGAGCAACTTTGGAATTTATTCGACCTAGGCGAGATGAAATTATGATTAAGACTCGGGGGCCTATCAATTTTTCTTAAGGGGATCATAAATAAAAAAAAATCAGAAAGTCAGAATTTCTTCGACATTATGAAAAACGAAATCATAATTATCACATCAGGGGCGTACCAACATTTTTTCAAGAGGGTCAAAAATGGAAAATTTGGGAATTGGAGTTCAGGGATAAATAAATGTGAAAATTTCGGAATTTCATCGATCCTATGCGAAAGAAAATAATAATTGTGACATCAGGGACGTACCAATTTTTTTCTAAGGGGGTCAAAAATAGAATATCGAGAATTTCGCAATGTCTTCAACACCGCGCGAATAAAATCATAATTGCAACTCCAGGGGCGTACCAAATTTTTTTCTGAGGGGTCAAAAATGAAATATCGAGAATTTTGTAATTTCTTAGACACCGCGCGTATAGAATCATGATTGTGGCTCCAGGGGCGTACTTAAATTTTTTCAAGGGGTCAAAAATAAAAAAATCTTTATATCCATAGACAAAACTCCTACCTATGACCTCGCTTTCGGTATTCGTATCCACCTCCCCCAAAAGTCCTTCCAACTCTCCAACGCACCCTTTGACTTGGCACTCGGCAATGTTCCTCTGCAACAAAATCCTCGTCTTCTCCAACGCCTCGTATTGCGCACACATTTCCCCACCAGCACAATCGAAATGGTACAGGACGTCCAGTTCGGAGGCGACGCTCTCGAAGCGTTTGAGGTCGGCGAGGAGGCGGTAGAGGGATGGCTGGTGGCGAGAGAAGGGGAGGGGGTGGTGGAGGAGGGGTTCGAGGAGGAGGCGGGCAGTGGGGGGAGGTAGCCCCGTGGGGGTGATTGGGGGGTGGGTGGACGAGAAGGGGTCGTTTCTGTGAATGAGAATTGGAGAGTTATTTTCCATACAGTGTCTTTAAAAAGTCTGGGAACGGTCTCATTGCAATCAATTCAACGCCCCCTCAATACTTGGGTTCATCAAAAACCATCTTGTACAAAATTTCATATTTTTTCGAGCCCTTTCGAAAATACTAATACGAATACAAATATATTCATTAGTATTTCCAACAGCAGCCATACAACAGATAGATGTACACGTCATGTTTTTTTACGAACAGTTGAAAACATTTCGAGAATACATGTAGTTTCACAAACAATAGTAAAAATACATTAATACACAAAGAATTGTGAAAATAAACCCCTACACAAACAATAAAATTCACTCTATTGAGTCGTCAAGGAATTCACTCACGTCATAATATGCCTTTCATAATAATGTTTTTTTTTTACTCACATAACTAAAATGACATTTAGCGTACGGATATGTACCACGCTAAATGATCGATTAATCACGGATTGTCGATCTGTGATTTATTCAAAATATTAAACACGTTGCCATGCCAACACGATTTCGTAAACACATTACCATGGCAACGCAGTTCATTAAACACAGCTTCAGTAATTCGAGACATGTCTAGCCTGTCAATTGTATTAACTGTCAACTGTTATTTTAGAATTTTGTATCAGAATTATTCAAACAATATTCGTTTTTTATCAGAATTCTTCATTAAAAATATATGCGAAAAGTAGCCGAAGTTGAAATCGAAGAGAATGTCCTGGTACTTGCATATCTCCAAGAAGTGTAAAAATGAAGCATCCAACTTTGAGAACAATTTATTCATTCTGCGCTAAGCAAGACAATAAACGTGAAACAAAGGTTAGTGAGCAATGGACTGGACACATCTACAATCAATATCATTCATACGTGCCTAGTTGGTTGCATGCAGTTGTATGTATTATGTATTATATTCTCAATTCGCATTCCTTTCGAATTATTTTGTAGGTTAGCAGGAATAGCAGGTATGTTAATGTAATTTTCGGAGTTCGTAGAAAAATCATAGTATGTAACGCGTTTATAAACTCTTCTAGACACTCGTTTATTAAACACTCGCTCCGCTCTGCTCCGCTCGTGCTTAAACTACTCGTTACTAAAAGGACGTTTATAACACTTGTTACATAATATACTATTAATTTCTTTCTTGAATGAATAACGGCTCATGTTTTGTATGTTGATGGAAAGTTAGTTAAATAACTTTGCACCAACATATTCTGGGCTTCTCTCAAATTTTGTCAGCCTGTGTTTAGATATACCCTAAATGCGCCGGCCGACAAGGAGTTCTGTTTAAATTTATGGAAATTTTCTCTCACCTATGTGAGTACTTTATAGATATACACGCAAGGAAATGTTAATATCTCTTTCTCGATGAAGGTGGATTTACAACTATCTCCAAATTTCATATCAAACATATCAACAAGCACTTTTTTGTCCACAGTTTTTTTTTTAATTTTAGTATTGCGAAAAACCCATAATTGAGATTTTTCAAAACATGTTGTATATGATTATCCCATGTCATATTCTGGTCAAGATATAGTCCCAAAAATTTAGTTGATTCTGAATGAATAACTTCTATCGCTGCTAAGCTAGGATTATTCTTCGAACATTTAAATTGAAAGTAAACTGTTTTTTTCTACATTCAGTAATAAGTTATTGGCACCTAACCATATTTCGAAAGAATTGGTCAGATCTTTCATTGTAATTTTGAGTTCTGCCAGAGTATTTGCTGAAGAGTCATCAGCAAACATCGTTACCTGTCCATTTCTCACATGATCAGGCATATCATTTTTTTTATTTCACAAACTTAAGATCAACACAAAAGGTACACATTGACAAAAAGTATGAATAGTAGTGGCCCCAGCACCGACCCTTGTGGAACACCAATATCCATACAGTATTGTTCTGAAACTTCATTGTATACTTGCACGCACGAACGCCTTCCTTTCAGTCAAATAGGATTCTAGAACATCAAGAATTTTTCCCCTCATTCCATTTCTATCAAGTTTTTCTGGGATGAATGTTATTTTTAGACTATCGAAGGCACAGGAAAGATCAAAGAAGATGCCACCTACGTATCTGCCTGCATCGATATTAGCATATACAATGTCCATGAATGCACATGCAGCACTCTCCGTTGATCTCCCGGTACGAAGAAATCGACAATTCTTCCATAGTACGCACGTTCAAAAATTTTGGAAATAACATTTAGAATTGTCACCTGTCTATAATCATCTATAGAGGTGCGGTTTCCTTTTTTAAATATGGGTATAACTTTACCTAATTTTGAGTTGAACGGAAAAACACCTGTATGGAATGTCAAATTGATCAGGTATGCTCGGAGTTTTGCAATAACTTCTTTCAGAATTTTTATTATTTTTACGCTTATTGTATCATCGCCTACGCTTCTTTTGTTCTTCATATTGGATATGATGGAGAGTACATCTTGCTCATGTACATTATGAAAGTAAAAGCACTTGTCAATAGTTCTTTTTGGTATAGTACATTCAGAGAGAAATGGGAAGAAGAACATAGTGCAACATCTTTTGAGTGATAATGATTCTCCTCATAAATTCTCAAATTGATATTCTCATTGATCTTACTTTTACCAGTTTCCTTATTTATAATGTTCCATATAGTTTTTTGTTTGTTATCGCTCTTTCTAATTGTTTCTAAATGAATTTTCTTTCTTTCCTTTAACTAACAAGTTGTTATAAGATTTTTTCTGTTTCCTATACAATTCCTACTATTCTGATTCTTTTTTATTTTTAATTTGATTGAACATAGTTTTCAGATTTTTACCTTCTTTGATTATCTCTTCTGATATTAGACCATTCGCAGATAATTTCAAGGAAAATGCCATGTCATATTTCAAAAACCACATTAGTTTAGTATCTGATATTTGGAGACATCAGTAATAAGGGGGCGCTGAATTGATGGCAATGAAAATAAATACCGTGTTTCATTTGAAAAAAGAGTTACCCTCAATCCCTGAAAAACTGTTGATTTGAAAACATTGTAGGCCAAGGTAAAATTGTTTAGTTAATTTTTTGCAATGACGTTTCAGTTTGGCTATCTATAAAAGCGTGTTTCTTTAGTTCTTCGAACTATAATTTATTTTAGTAGTTGTTATTGTTACTTGGCATAAGAAAAGTCAGAGTTCTGATTTTTTGAATAATTTACTATAGAACCCCGATTATTCATCAACAATACCACAGCCGTCTTCAATATCAAGCCATGAAGAATGAACTTGGCAACATTGACCGAACGACCGAACGTGCACCTGTCGGCCATTCAAAGATCAAATAATTTTAAAAGTATTAGCAACAATCTAGGAATCGACTCGAGACTAAAAGTGTGTGGCAAGTGCATTCAAAATTGTGTTAAATTGGAGGTTATAGTGAAGTGTACTAGTGCTGGTGTATTTGCAAGGGAATTTGTGTTGTTTTTTTCAATTTACTCCTGGAAATAAGTAAGTAATTCATTATTCCTTATGTAATATGCCTTCTCATTGTTGTGTGTCAGGATGTAAGTCAAATTACAGATCTGAAAAAAGCTGGGAAAGGATCATGTCTCAGTTTTTTTATTCCCAAAAGGGGAAGAATTGCGAAGTAAGTGGATAACAGCAATACCTCGAAAAAACTGGACACCATCTCAACGTTCTGCAGTATGTGCAATTCATTTTATTGAAAAAGATATCATCAAGTATGATACATTCCCTCTGCCAGATGGATCAATTGGAAAAAAATTGTTATGAGCACCAAAGTTAGTCAAAACAGCAGTTCCTTCAATTTTTCCAAATTTATCAAAATATTTTTCAAAACCAGCCAAACCATCAAGAACTGAACCAAATGAAAGACGCCAGAAATATTTAGATATTCAAAGTAATATAATAGAACAGTTTGAAAAATCAAACCTCATCCACAACTATGAACACTTAGTTAGGGAATATGTCGACAAAATAATCCGAGAAAATTACGTTAAACCAAACATTCAAAGCTCGCGCTCATATAAAAACCATTGTATTGCTAGGCGCGAATGGGACCGACGGTTTCCGTTCGTGCGGTGTTGCCATTATCTCAGCACGGCTTGATAGTTGCAGACGGCTGTGACAATACTTATGGGATACCTCGTATGCGACTCACCTGTCATACTCGTTAGGTCGCAGGAGCAAATCGACGATGTAGGATATACAAGGTGGGAGGCTGTTATCTGAATGTCTCGTCATCGCAATACAGTTTTCTATACGGCTGTCGAGAGTTAAATCGCGGCTGCTGCTTCCCAAACATTTCAGCTGTTTCGCCATGAAAATCTCCACGATTAGGCAACCTTGAAAAACGCACCGTTTTTAGATTATTTTTTACATGGAAGCTGGTGATCAATTGGAACGCATCAAGCACATTTCTGAATTCAACATTAAGTATTTTCAAATGTTAAAACTTCAAAAACGATAAGATTACCACAAAATTACCACAGGACGCTAACACAGTAGCTTCGTCAGGTGATATACTGGCACGATGAACTAAACTAACCTTGGCTTGCTTATATATCCTACTTTCCCAACCTACCTGTGAACAGGTTCGATAAACCTCCATTTTCGGAAATTAGGCACAATATCTACATTAAAATACGGTATACCGGATTAACTTGAAAGAGTTGATAGCAAATACATATTATTACTTACTACGAAAACAAATTCAACAGTGGTGAACTATTGAGGTCTAATTGATCGTTAAGTAAAATGTCAGAATTTTTAAGTATGTTGATTTCTAATGATTCAAAATGATTGAGTTTCATTCCTTTATTTTCTACGTGTAGAATTTCGAAATTATCATCATAACTATGATTTTCTTCTAATATATGGTTGGTGTATGTTGAATTTGTTTTATTTTTCATAAAATTCATTTTATGTTCATGAATGCGCTGATTAAACGTACGACCTGTCTGACCGATATATACCTTAAGACGAGATACACAGTTGAGTTTGTATACCCCTGATTTTTCGAATTTAGAAGTAGAAGTCACCCAGTATATTTGATGATGCTCACTCGAATTATGCTATTGAATAAATCGTAGGTATACAGGGTCACTCCTAAGTGCACCTCAACTTTCTTATTTGAATAGGGACACCCTGTATATTATTCCATATTCAAGTAGAGTTCATTATTACAAATTCAACAATGCCGGGTTTGATGGGATTTTTTCAAACAACTACGAAGATATGGCAAAAAATGAAACGATTCAATAAAAAATTCATATAATTAGATTTCATCAATATTACATGATTGAAATCGAATGAAAAAGAATTATTAAAATCTTATAACCACCAATTGTGTCGATGGTGATAGCAACTGGCCAGCTCGGTCGCCAGACCTCACCCCACTTGATTTTTATTTGTGGGACTACTTGAAACAACAGGTTTATGAGTCGTCAATTGTGAATATGGAAGAAATGAAAGAGAAAATCAGAAATTTATGCACACAAATTGATCGCAACGTGATACATGGGGTCACAATGAACGTTATCAAACGAGCTAGGAAATGTTTTCAGCAGAAAAGACGACATATTGAGCAGTTGAGGTTTAAATTATCTTCTTTTCATTCGATCTCAATCGTGTTATATTGATAAAATCTAAACATATGAATTTTTCAACTACGAAATAGCCACATGAATTTTTTATTGAATAGTTTTATTGTTTGCCATATCTTCGTAGTCGTTTGAAAAAATCCCATCGCACCCGGCATTGTCGAATTTGTAATAATGAACTCTACTTGAATATGGAATAATATACTGGGTGTCCCTATTAAAATAGAAAAGTTTAGGTGCACTTTGGTGTGACCCTGTATACCAACGATGTATTCAATAGCAGATTTCGAGTGAGCATCATCAAATATACTGGGTGATCAGATTTCATGCCATTCGATCTTGCGGTTGATTTTTCACAGGAGGGGACATTTTAGATGGGACACGGTGTATACCTTAGGACAAGATCCACAGTTGATTTTTCGAACTTAAAAGTTTTGTCTTTATTATCCTTGATAAACCTTCCCCACGTGTTATTTGTTTTATATGCCACTTTTGAGTCCTGTTTATGTAGAAATGAAGCTAATTTTTCAGTTGATGATCTGAAATAGGTTGAAGTTCAATAATTTTGATTGTTGTTCCAAATGGTAGTATAAACTTCTTGAATAGCTCTTCAAGGTTGGGAAGGTTTATCAAGAATAATAAAGACAAAACTTCTAAATATCAAAAAACAGGGGTATACAAACTCAACTGTGTATCTTGTCTTAAGGTATACAGGGTGTTCATTTCAGGACTTCCCACCCTAATTTTCTCGAAATGTGTGTATGTTTTTGAAAAATCCCGAGACACGTCAACTACATTTTCGAGGGGGACATTGTTCTAAAATATTTTCAGCCCCGCGGCGTTGCCGCTTCTAACGAAAAGAAGCAACAACTTTGTTATTTCAAATGGAACACCCTGTATTTTATTGCATTTTTAGATTCTCCCTGAAAAGCTGATTCCATCAATGTATCACACTTGGGGTCTAGCAGAAATGATTACAGAGATATAGGGTGTTCAAAATCGAGATTTTACAACTTTAGGATTTTTTTGAGTCGAAACTATTCATTATTGGTCAAAACGGCTTTTATGTCCCTATCTCAACTTTTGATTTACTATCTACTGACATTTATTTGAAACAAATACAGGGTGGTTCAAGATTCAGACTTTTGATCACCCTGTATTTGTTTCAAATAAATGTCAGTAGATAGTAAATCAAAAGTTGAGATGGGGACATGAAAGCCGTTTTGACCAATAATGAATAGTTTCGACTCAAAAAAATCCTAAAGTTGTAAAATCTCGATTTTGAACACCCTATATCTCTGTAATCATTCCTGCTAGACCCCAAGTGTGATACATTGATGGAATCAGCTTTTCAGGGAGAATCTAAAAATGCAATAAAATACATGGTGTTCCATTTGAAATAACAAAGTTGTTGCTTTTTTTCGTTAGAAGCGGCAACGCCGCGGGGCTGAAAATATTTTAGAACCATGTCCCCCTCAAAAATGTAGTTGACGTGTCCCGGGATTTTTCAAAAACATACACACATTTCGAGAAAATTAGGGTGGGAAGTCCTGAAATGAACACCCTGTATATCGGTCAGACAGGTCGTACGTTCAATCAGCGCATCCATGAAAGCCCAATCTTTCATGAATAATCTAAAACTCATTATTTTTGTAATTATTTCAATCTCAACTTTTTTATAGAAATTATACCTCGCACATTTTGAAGGAGCGATAAACTCTTCATACATCACTTACCCAATACTTTGAGTTCCTTGACTCGCCTCGTCGATATGATATCCACAAAGTTACAAACGATCTGATCCTCGAACTTCCCGTTCTGATTTTCCTTGGGGAAATTCGATGAAAATTCGCCCCACTTCGTCTTGTACGTTTCCTCGAAGTTTCCCGCTGGTTCAGGGACAAGATCGTTCGTGTTCTTCTCCAGGCTGTCGGTTCGACAGCCACCGAAAGTTTTCGAGAAGAAAGCGTGTTTTTTCTCTAGGATTTCCAAGGCCTGCTCCGGTTTGTAGTCTTTCGGCAGGAAATATGTGTCACCGTTGGGATTCAAAGAAGCTGGAATTAGACGTTCTTCATGTACTCGGCACTTTCGTTTCAACGTTTTTGTATATTTGGGGCCGTTTTATCATCAGATGAATTGACTTTAAGCTGTCACTTTATAAAAATGTAAATCTAGTTAGTAGACGAGAGGTATAATATTGTCAGTTGAGTGAAAAATATATGATAAAAATCGGCCTCATTGACCAAATTTTCAGTTTCAGTTTTCTCGAGTTGTTAATTGATAAGTTCATGTGTGTTCTGCAAATTGAAAAAACCCATACTTCCTCAAAATACTTGCAACTTGAAAAGGAGATATTGACGTGAATCAAAAACCATTGGAGTTGAGAAGGGATGACAATTCAATCCAAATCAAAATTTAACTAGGGTCCCTTGATGCAAACTGACGTATTTGTCATCTAACAGGGTACGGACAGATCATATCTCCTTTAAATTTTGAATGGACTCGGCCGTTACTTGATGGAAATCCATGATAAATGCAAAAACTCCTAAACACACGACATGTTTCGCTAACACAGTAGTTTCGTCAGGTGATATACTGGTACAATGAACTAAACTAACGTTGGCTTGCTTAACTTTTATATATCTTACTTTCCCAACCTGAAGGATTAGTTACCTGTGGACAGGTACGATAAACCTCCATTTCCGGAAATTAGGCACAACATCTACATTAAATTACGGTATACCGGATTAACTTGAAAGAGTTGATATCAAATACATATTATTACTTACTAAGAAAACAAATTCAACAGTGGTGAACTATTAAGGTCTAATTGATCATTAAGCAAAATGTAAAAATTTTTGAGTTTGTTGATTTCTAATGATTCAAAATGATTTGAGTTTCATACGTGCAGAATTTCGAAATTATCATCAAAACTATGGTTTTCTTCTAATATATGGTTGGCGTATGTTGAATTTGTTTTCTTTTTCATAAAATTCATCTTATGTTCATGAATGCGCTGATTAAGATATATAAAAGTTAAGCTAGCCAACGTTAGTTTAGTTCCAGGACTAGATGGAATCAAGTCCGAAACCTTGAAACTTATTGCTAATGAAATCGCGAAACCAATTGCTCATCTCATAAATAAGTCGTTTGAAACAGGAAAATTTCCAAATGAACTGAAAACAGCTGTCATAAAACCCCTATATAAAAAAGGAAGTAAGTTGGATATGGCTAATTATCGACCAATATCCCTAATTTCAAACATTGCAAAAAGATTAGTTAACTTTTTAGACAGGTTCAACATTATTTCAAATAGGCAATATGGTTTCAGACACGCCCGGTCGACACAAGACGCAATCGGTGAATTAACAACAAAACTATATAATGCATTGAACGATAAAAAACCGACTCTTTGTGTCTTTGTCGACCTGGCCAAGGCCTTTGATACTGTTAGCCATATTCAACTTCTCCAAACGTTCGAGCAGATTGGCATTCGCGGTACTCCACTGAGATTATTGGAAAACTATCTCACAAATCGTAATCAGTGTGTAAAAATCGGAGATGTATACAGCGATTACGAAGTAGTAGAATATGGAGTCCCATAAGGAACGGTATTGGGCCCATATTTTTCAATATCTACATCAATGATCTCTTCAATTTGGATACAGAAGGTGACATAATGGGTTTTGCTGATGACACAGTTGTTCTGTACCAGGAGCAAAGTTGGACTACGTTGAAAAGAAAAGCTGAGAGAGATTTTACAAAAATCGCCGAATGGTTTGCATCCAAACTACTCAGTGTTAACTTTGAGAAAACTCATTATGTCCCATTCGCTTCCTATAAAAACCATTTACCAGATACTGTGAGAATAAATAATATACCAACCTACATCCAATCAGCTGAAAATATCAAATATTTGGGTATATATATTGACAGCCACTTGAAATGGAATAAACAAACACAGTATGTCACTAACAAAATCAGGAGTTTATTACCAATGTTCAAATATCTGGTGGGAATACTCGATACTAACCAGCTAAAAATTTTGTACTATTCACTTGTAGAAAGTCACTTGTCATATGGAATAATAGCATGGGGGGAACAACAGACACCCATATGCACAGCCTACAAACTGTACAAAAATATATCATAAAAATAATAATGAAAAAATGTCAAACCTACCAAACAGAACAACTATTTCACGAATCAAACTTGTTTGATCTCAAGCAACTATATTTCTATTCAGTTTTAGTTAGACAACATACCCGCAAATCGGAACTGTTTGAGATTACCCATCAATATAAGACAAGATACCGATGAAATTCAGTCTCAGTACCAAAAGCTGAAAAAACCATATTTCAAAGATCTCTTGTTTATCTAAGCCCGAAGTTTTATAATAACTTACCAGAGAATTTGAAGTCAATAAGACCAATGAATTTATTCAAAAACAAATTGAAAGCATGGTTGCATACAAACCCTAGAGAATATATACATAATCTGGTTAACCACTAATCAATTCATTACTGATTCTATTCTCATTCATTATAACAATAAGAACAAACTATTTGAGTAGGTACTCCACAGAATCTAGTTGGATGAGCGGTCTCCACGTACAAGTTTTTCTTTAGAGGAGAACTGCTTGTCTTTCAATATTCTAATTAATTATTATACTATACAGATACACCTATATTTATGAATAATTCTCTCTTTCAATTCGAAGTTTTGAATGCACATGCATCTACGAACAAGTCCTAAGACTTTTAGTTGATTATCAATATTCATTCACTGATGTTCAAACCTTGTTGTAGGTAATACTTATTGTATTTGTAATTGTTAATACTTATTGAAATTGTATTATATAAATATATATATACAGGGTGTCCGGAGATAAAACCGACAGAACTCATGGGGTTATAGGGACTGTCAATATGATTGCAAAATGCCATAAACGAATGTCCAAAACGGCTTCGTTACTGAGATACAGAGTGATTTGTGGATTTTGACAAAATATGATTAGCCGATTGAATTCAAATTTGGTACACGAATTACACTGAAGAGCATCAACAAGTAGCCCTTTGATCGAAACCAATATCAGGACCGGAATAATATTTTTCCCATATGTTGAGTTATTGTTAGGATAACTCACCCTGTATCATAATAACCAAAAATTTCAACTCAGATTCGCAATTTACGGTGAAAATTGTATAGGAAGTTGTTGAAAAATCTCCTGGCACCATCTTAGTTATTCCGTAATTATTTATCATTTTGATTTTTTTCATTGAAAAATCAATCATTGTCAGATAAAGTACGTATATTTACGAAACCATGACATGAATGTCGTTATTTTCTTCGATCAGTTCATGAATCGGAGTAAAATGAAATATTCTCATAACCCGAAAAAACTGAAGAATAAATTCGTATCAGGACTGGAATGAGTGTTTTGTTTGGCCATGTTAGCTGACCTAGTACATCAATAGTTATCAATAATCTGATCGTAAATTCGGAATCTAAAAAAATCGTATATTAACCTGTTGAAGAAGGATAACAGTGAAGTTTTCGTAAATTATATTCGCTCACTAATGAATTTGAATTTATGAGAATACTACACAACGAACAATAACTGTTTGTAATGAACATAACAAAAGCAACGAATTCGTGAAAAACTTTCACTAACCAGTATTACAAAACATTTTCGAAGTGGAGCCCTCCAACATCAATACATTTTTGAGAGCGTGCTATTAGATGATTCACTGACTTGCGAATTATTTGAGGGTTATTTCTAACACATGCAGCAGTAATTTCCCATAAAAAATTTCTTCATTATGAACTTCCTACTTTAAATGACCTCATAAAAAATAATCTAGCTGAGTTAGATCAGGGGATAGCGGTGGCCAATTTACTGAACCTCCACGGCCAATCCATCTATTGGGGTAATTGGCATCGAGATGGTTTCTAACTGGAACTGAAAAGTGAGGGTAGCACCATCATGCTAAAACCATATACCTCAGGTATTTACACCTTGCAATAGATCCGGTCAAGTATTGACCAGGAAATTTAGGTAAACATCACTAGTTGAAGCCCAAACACAAATAGAATATCTGCGTATTCCTCATAAGTGAAATAAAACGGCATCATAAGCACACTCTCAGAACTATAGTTTGATCCAAAAAACACTGGAATAATGAATGAACACCAATTAAACAAACGTTGATGACAGCTGAACAATGGTTTTCCATTATGAAATTCTGAATTTGACACAAGCCTAGTATTATTTATACTCAAACATTATAAGGTACTGATACGGATTTATTATTTGAGAGTTCAATCCGATCATTTTTCAACAAGTTTTTAACTTTTCTCAGTGCATTTCGAATCTGCGATCAAATCATTGTTATACTAGATCATCTATTCTTACAGGAATATAATCATATTAGTAGAGTAAATAGACTGGCAAAAGGCTTCTAGAATAGATTTTCGTGGGCACTTTGTTGCTAAAATGTAAAACCCATTTTTTATCATTCCTAAGACCTTTGCAATGCAAAATCACTTGGTCGTCCAAAAATCGTAGTTGGAGGGGAGTGGGGGGAGCCTTTTTTTAAAAAAAAGCCAATATTTTTTTTCATCGGTTTTCAGGTCTAAGCTTTGAGATAATTCATTCCTCAAATTTGCATACCCATCCAAATATCAGAAATATTTTTTTTTAATTTATAAAAATACGTCGCAGCATTGTTGTATATGGAGCGCCTTCACACAAAACCGCTTGCCCTGAACACCCATATTTTTAAAATCATTTAACTCGCTCTACCTCGAAAATTATTGGGTCTAGCAAAAAAAAGCTTTCTATAAACGTTGGAGACCAAACATCAGAGAACATGTTGGTTTTTTTAGAATTTTGATTGGATAATTGGTTCACGAGAAAATTGAATAAATCGAACGGCATGTCGCGACGAACGGCGGCTAGCGCAGATATGCGGGGAAGGGCGAGATTGCTATGCCTGTGTCAACCGAAAATCCACTCTACTGAGGGCGATGTTGATACGGTCGATTTTACCGT